CAGTCACTAGTATTAGTAGAGCGAATACTAACCTAGATGGGTGCTAGTCTTAGCTAGGTCAGCTGCCAGCCGGCTGTGTGGACATGGGCAGTTCCAAAGATGATGCAGGTCTGCCATATCTGTAAAATGGTATAAGTGCCCTGAGGTTCCTTCCAGCTCTGGAGTCCTGTAAGTGGCTTTGTTATTGCTTTTCTCATCAAGAATAATGATGAGGTTGTAAGAGCAGGTTATCTTTTTGTTGTTGTTCATCATCTGAATTGGGGGCAGGTGTAAGCCTATTTCTTAGTTCCTGCAATGTTTCCTGAGAAAGCTTGTTTTTCCTTGATTGTATCTCTTCTCTCTGGTGCTGCTGGTCAGGGGTATGATGATATTATACATACCATAATATTACTTTAAGTTCTTTAACTTTATATATACTAACAGAGGACATAATACAACATGTGTTAACACAGGCCATAACTAGTTCACCAATAGCCTTGTCTGAATTTACCTAGACACAGTTACAGGTGTATGAGTGCCTGTGTGCATGTGCAGTCAGTGCTTACCTGTTGCTTCATTTCATGGCCTTCACCAATTGAAATTCAGAAAGTTTCGTGATTTAAGCCGAGTGCATAAAGAACATTAAATGTAGTTTTAATAATTAAAAGAACCACACACACTCATATATATCAAATTCAGTGTTACTCAGAAACTGATTGATAAGACAGAGAGGATTATTTTCAAAATTTACATGCAACTAAAAATCCAAGCAGTAAATAAACACTTATATAGCTCTTTAAGTTCAAAGAACTTTAAAATTTCACATATTCTATTTAACTCCTCTAAAAACATTACTCAGTTTTAAAAACCAATAAAGTAAGATGTTAGACTTCAGAGTTCATGGGTCATATTTAGATTATTGGCAATTTTTCTTCAAACAGTTACACTTATCACAGAGTCAGTTCCTTTAAACTTTCTCTGAGTTAGTTTTATTTGCTAACTTTAGTAAATAAATAGGCATTACTAAATAATATAGTATTTTAATATCTTAATTCTTCACATGCTCCTTTTTATGAAGACTTTTGTTCCAAAGGAAATATGAAATAGAAAGTGATGACAGTCTCATGAATCTTTACCATAAAGTTCAACTCTTAAAAGTCAGTTGCTGTGATTTACCTGTGAGCATGGAATAATCCATTTTGGAACTTCCTGTGTAATAAAACCATCATTTTAAAGATTTATCTTAAAGGGGAAATGATGAGAAAAGGGACAATAACACAACAAAAAGAATGATGTTGTAGCTGTTTTGTGTAAATAAATGTTAAAAATATGAGCTCATAAGAATATGATTGTAGCCTTGGTTGGGTTGCTCAGTTGGTTGGAGCATCGTCTGGTACACCAAAAGGTTGCAGGTTCAATCCCGGTCACAATACATACCTAGGTTGTGGGTTCAATCCTGTCAGGCATATATGGGAGGCAACCAATCAATGTTTCTCTCTCACATCCCTCTCTCTCTTTCTCTTTCTTTCTCTCTCTCTCTCCCCCTTCCCCTCTCTCTAATATCAATAAACACATTCTCTGGTGAAGATTAAAAAAAAAAGAATATGTCTGTAAACACTAGAATGCAAGTACAGTATCCCCTCCCTTATTTTTGATTTCCCTTTCTGAGTTTCAATTACCCAAGGTCAACTGTGGTCCAAGAATATTAAATGGAAAATTCCAGAAATACATGATTCATAATTTTTGTAGGATTTTATTTATTTATTTATTATTTTTAGAAAGAGGGGAAGGGAAGGAGAAAGAGAGAGGAACATTGATGTGAGAGAGAAACACTGATTGGTTGCCTCTAGAATGTACCCTGACTGGGGATGGAACCTACAACCCAGGCATGTGCCCTGACTGGGAATCGAACTGGCGACCATTTGCTTTGTGGGATATCGCCCAACCCATGAGCCAGGCTGGTCAGAGCTGCAACTCCTCAGTTTTAAATTATGTGCCATTCTGAGTAATGAGATGACATCTCAGAATCTCTTCCTGCACCCTGTCCGGGATGGAAATCATCCCTTTGTCCAGAATGTCCATGCTGTAGACATTCCTACCTGTTAGTCACTTAGTAGCCACAACCTTGGTTATCAGCATGACTGTTGCAGTACTGCAGTGCTTGTGTTCCAGGGACCTTTATTTTAATTAGTAATGGCCCCTAAGCACAAGAGTAGTGATGTCGGCATTCAGATATGCTAATGAGAAGCTGTAAACTTTATCATAGGTATGTATGCATTGGAATAAAACATAGTATATATAGGGTTCAGTGCTATCTGTTTCAGGCTTCCACTCGGAATCTTGGAACATATAAGGGCAGATCCCCCCAAAACAGAATTTATTCATAAAAACTTGTGTGTTTATTCTTACATGTTTAAACTTCAGTCACCTTCAAAGTTCTCTCCATTTGATGCAATACACCTATTGAGAAGTTTTTTCCACTGCTCATAACAGTTTTTGAACTTGTCAATTTTGATGCCTTTTAGTGCTTCTGCCACTTTTTATTTTGTTTTGCCTCTTCCACATTGGCAAAATATTTTCCTTTTGAGGGATTTTTTTCATTTGGGAAAACAAAAAACAAGCCACTCGGGGTGTGAGATTGGATGAATAGGGAGGCTGGGGCATGGAATAATGCTATTTTTTTTTGGTTAAAAACCACTGAAAACTCAGAGCAGTATGGGCAGATGCACTTGTAAATAACCCATCATGAAATGGGCAAGCACATTGAGAGAGTCTTCAAAAAATATTCACTGAAGCTATACTCAGCCTCTCACAACACCAGCTGATACACTGACCAATGGGTTCCTAGAACACTCACCTAGCCTGCCCTCCAAAAGATAATTCTGGTTTTTAGGGTTCCCCCTGTGTATATCCTACAGAAAAGGGGGGACTACTATACAGAAAAAAGAACCAAAACAGAACAACCCGAGAAAAATTAGAAAATGCAAATGTTCTATAAATAGAAAAAAAGAAAGTCTTAAACTTCATAATTAACTTTATTTTGTATAGTAATGGAATAAAGGGGCGAAGGAAAATACCACTTTAAACCTAGACCTATATAATCATAGTTTGCTGCTTACACTATTACAGATGTCCCATTCCTCCCTCCTTTTTTGCGCCCCTCCCCACGCCCTCAACCCCATTGCCCTCTGGCCATCACCACACTGTCATCTGTGTCTACGTTCTTCAGATAATCCCTTCACCTTCTTTCATCCAGTCCCCCACCCCCTCCCCTCTGACAGCTGTCAGTGTGTTCTGTGCAGGACAGCCTGTACTTTGTAACCTGCTGGGGGTAGAGTGTGGTCATTTTGCTGCTGCCTGCTAGGACCAGCCAGGAACAAATTTCACTAAGGTTTCCAATTGGTAACCGACCCCCAAGTTTGAATTCAAAGTTCTAGCCTTTAGTTTTAGTGGTTTTTTTCCTCCTCACTCGAATACATTTTTTATCGCTTGGAGGAAGAAAGGAAGGGAGAGAGAAAAACATTAATTGGGTGCCTCCTGTATGCACCCAGACTAAGGATCGAACCTGCAACCTGGGTATGTGCCCTAACCAAGAAACAAACCCACAACCTTTTAGTTACAAGACAATGCTTCAACCAACTGAGCCACACTGGCCAGGGCTAATCTTTAGTTTTCATGCTGATCATATAGTAAGAGCTAGAAATTCACCCCAGGGGAAGTCGTAGTTAGTGGGTGAGGCATTAGCCATTTCTAGTCCTGGGTTTAAAGGCAGTACCCACCCTCTCCACCAGGCACAGTGCCACTAGGCCCCTGTTCCTCCCAGAAGTCCTTACATTTCTGTGCTACTTGTTTAGCAGAGGACTGGTTTATTTGCACTATTATTTATTCGTTTTGTATTATGTTTCTTTGGCCTACATTCTGCTTCTGATTTAGGTAATCTCCTTTGCTTTCCCTAATGGTTTTTAAAGGTTGAAAATGGGTCAAGGTTTGGACAGTTTGGAAGGTTTTTCTGTGTCAGTTGGGCAGCTTGTTTACCCCATGTCACACCAATTGCACACTTCATCTTCTTTTCAAATTTTCTCTAGATTAGCAGCCTTTTTAATTTTAACTTTTTATTTTAGAATCATTTCAAATGTACAGAAAAATAGGGTAGTTCACAGACTTCTGGTGTGGCTCCTTATTGGGAACATCTTTCATTACAGAATAGACCAGAGGCTTTTAACATGAGTCCATGGGTTGACTTCAGGGATTCTGTGAACTCCTGAAATTTATGCCACATTGTATATGTTTGAATGAAGTACATTTAAATTGTTTTGAGAATCTGAGGCTGTATTTTAGTTTCATCTACTCTTTTTCATTAGGTGTAATCTCTGTTTTCATGTTTTCTTCCCTGATGCATTTTTTGGTCACCATCTCCAAGTGCACCTTTGCACCAGCGTGCAAGGGCAGATTTTTGTGTGCAACAGGCCTGGCCGAAGGGTTCTTTATCCCACCCTGCAGTTTTCTGAGTCACTTGATACTGTGCATTCACATAAAATATGTTAACTCTATTGTTTGACAAATCCAGTGTTGCTTCAAATGGTTGGGTATGTCTATATTCCATTAAGTCCTCCAAACCAAACATAGGGGCCCCGCATCTGAATTCCTTGGGGTCCCTATCTAGAATATTTTGCATTTTTAAACCCCCTCAAACTGGATGTACAATGTATCCAAACCATTTATATAGACTGCCTAAATTTTGAACATTAACTTAACAGCAAAGGATATTTGGCACAATTACAAAAGCACTGCTGTTTTTCCTCCACACTTCAGGGGAAAGCCATGAAATTATGCTAGGCCTATTTTCTCTTGTGTCTGTATAGTTTCTCACTCCACTTTTGTTCTAAAGATAAAGGGTAATTATAACATTAGAGATCTAGGATTCTGTGAAAATTCCCCCTACTTAAATCTTTGTTTTAAAAGTATTTTGAATATTTCAAGTAATTTTTTGTTACTGTCAAATATTCGGGGTTTGATTTCAGACTTACAGATTCCAGTCTTATGTTAGAAGATTATTCATCCAAGTTGAGCCCCCAAATAAAGAGAGCAAAGAAGAGCCTTCTCTCTGGGGAGGAGAAGGAAAATCTGCCAAGCAACTATATAATGCCCATTTTCTCAGGACGGTGAGTATGAATTCTCTTCCTGCCTTTGATTATAATAAAGTGGACAGTAAATGTTTTCAAGTAATACTAATAATAGCAACTACTATTTACTGAGCACTTGCTATGTATGGTTGAGCAAGGTCTGAAGAACCTTGAACTCTGCACTGAGGGAGATGTGTTTATCGTAAAAGTCTTTGCCATTACACAGCATGGCTACATGAGAAAAGAAATTGATTAGGAACTTATTTTTACTTTTGTAACTAGTTAAAATTAGAAGGAGGGTGTTGGATGCTAGTGATTGAATACTATATCTAGTCACTATAGAGTAGAAAGAGACGTTCAAACTCTCAAATGTTGGGTGATCTAAAAAAGCAGAATGAGGTGATATGTTTAAGTAGATGGAAAAATCATGGCTGCCTATGTGGTTTTAATTATTTTTCCTTAGGAGGAAGAAATCTTAGATAACTAGACTAAGTAAAAGAATTACATCATAACTCGAATGCCTGGCTTGTATTTGTTGAATGTATAATAAATTACTATTTATCTGAGGTAAATATCAAACAAAATAATCACTAAATCACAAGTCTGTGTAATACCAAATTTCTGTGTTTAAAATGTAAACCTCCTTTTGAATGATAATAATATCCAAAGGAATCTTGAAAGGAAACTTGTCTGAGACACCAAATTAAAGTTCAAGGGGAACTTTCTGTAGCTTCCCCTGTTGACTTCTTTTTGAGTGGAGAACTATAAACAGAGCTAAATTGATACTCAAAAGGTCTTTTTCTCAAGACAAATGCTATCAGGACATTCAACAGGCAATAATGTGGTTGTGATTTTTGTTTTCCTGTATTTTTCTTTCCTCTGATCTCTGATAACTGCTTTCTGAATTGTTTCAGAGGCCAATATCATTACTGCTCTGAACACAATTAGGAACATAAGAGAATAATAATGTTCTATTTTTAGCTTTTTATTTGATATGTTTGATTTTTTGATATCTGATTATTTAAGTGAACTTTCCAGAGAAACATGCTTATATTACTAAAAATGTGTGCCCAGACTTAGTCTCTTCACAGTTAATGTAATATGTGTTTTGTATTCATTATAGGAGATGGCTAGGGTGGAGGAGTGAAATATTTTATACCCCCACCCCTGACATTTAAAAAAATTATTTAAAAACCACATTAACTTAGCATCAACCTTCACATGGCAAGCCTCTCTACCTGTGTGGGCATCAGATGAAGCTCTCACTGTCTTTTTCCTACCCTTTGCCCACCAAACAATTTTGTGTCTTTCTAGGCCATTCTCAAGAAATGATAATTTACAAAATTAACTGTGATGAAAGAAAATGTGAATAAAAATTTACCTTTTAGGTTTTATTTCCAGTTATTTATTTTTATATGGAGACATCTGCTACATTTTATTACTATTACTACATTGAAAATAATACTTCATCAAGATGGCAGCATAGGTAAACATGGCTCATCTCCTCACATAACCACATTAAAGTTACAACTAAACTACAGAACAACCATCATTCAGAACCATCAGTAATCAGGCTGAATGGAAGTCCTGTAACTATGGATTAAAGAAGAAACCACATTGAGATTGATAGGAAAGGTGGAGACGTGGAATGAACTGGTCCCACACCCACATAATGTGGATAAAAATCAGGAGGAATATCTCAGGAGAGGGGTCTCAGCTCCATACTAGGTTCCCCAGTCCAGAGTTCCAGTAACAGGAAGAGAAATTCCCATAACTTCTGGCTGTAAAAAAAAAAACCAGCACGAATTGAGGCGCTGAAGACAGAAATGTAGGAGTCTCAGACATTTCTTCGTAAAGGGCCTGAGCACAGACTTGAACTTACTCCCTCTGAGCTCCAGTGTGGGGATAGCAGATTGAAAGGCATCAGAGACCTATGGGGAGGAACTGAATTGTCCAGCAACGGGGCAAGAGCTGGAGGGCTGCTTTCTCCAATACAGAAGTACTAGCAAAAACTATTGTTTCTTTTCTGAGCCTTCCCCCCGCAGAGCCACAGATCCAGCAGGCAGTTGCGATATCTAAGACTTCGTCAATCTAGCTCACACTGTTTGCCCCACCCAACTTTTGGGCCCACCCAAGCTGTTTCTAGTGGCTTTTCCATATGAATGGTTTATCTTGACCTATATTTCAGATTTTCCTAAATTCCTTCAAACAAGCAGCATCTGGCTTCAATGAGCCCATTCCTCTTGCTAAGTAACACCAGACCCAGCACTAGCAGCAGTCAGCTTTGGTTCACAGGTTGGCCTTACCAGGGCAATTCCAAGCCCAGCCATCTGCAGATCACTTTGTATCTTCTACTGTGTGATCCTGGACAGAACATAGTCAGCTGCTAACCATGGGCATACCAATAGCAGTCAAGGTCCAAATACAACAGGAGGATGTACATGGCCTACACAATGGGAGCATCTGGAGTACCCTGCTTGGGTAATAGGGGAGCTTATGCCACCGGACTCTACAGGACACCTACTGTATTAGGCTACTCTACCAAGCCTGGGAGATGTAGCAGCTCCACTCAATACATGGAAACACATAAATGGAGGCTGCCAAAATGAAAAGAAAAAGAAATATGGCCCAAATGAAAGATCAGAACAAAACTTGAGAAAAAGAACTAAACAAAATGAAGATAAGCTATCTTTCAGATGCAAAGCTCAAAACACTGGTTATAAGAATGCTCAAGGAACTTAGTGAGAACCTCAACAGCATAAAAAAGATCCTGTCAAAAATGAAGGGTCTATTCAAATACTTTGCCTATTTTTTAATTGGGTTGTTTGTCTTCCTGGAGTGGAATCCTGTGAATTCTTTATATATTTTGGAGATCAAACCCTTGTCTGAGGTATCATTTGCAAATATATTTTCCCATATAGTTGGTTCTCTTTACATTTTAATGCTGTTTTCTTTAGCCATGCAGAAGCTTTTTATTTTGATGAGATCCCATTTGTTTATTTGACCCAGCAATACCACTGTTGGGATTATACCCTAAAGATCCTGAAATACCAATTCAAAAGAACCTATGCACCCCGATGTTCACAGCAGCACAATTTATAATAACCAAGTGCTGGAAGCAACCTAAGTACCCTCCAGTAAATGAGTGGATAAAAAAACTGTGGTGCATTTACACAATGGAATACCACAACACAGAAAGAAAGAAGGAACTCCTATCCTTCACAACAGCATGGATGGAACTGGAGAGCATTATGCTAAGTGAAATAAGCCAGGCAGTGAAAAACAAATACCATATGATCTCACTTATAAGTGGAACCTATTCAACAAAAGAAATAAGCAAAATACAACCAGAGACATTGAAATAAAGAAAAGACTGACAGCAGCCAGAGAGGAAGGGGGAGAGGGATAATAGGGGAAGGGATGTCAAGGAACATTTATAAAGGACACACAGACAAAGCCAAAGGGGGTAGGTTTGGGGGTGGGAGATGGGGATGGGTGGGGCAGGGGGCATGATGGGGTGAAAATGGAGACAACTGTACTTGAACAACAATAAAGAAAAAGAATTCACACAAAAAAGTTAAGGATATACTAATTGAAATGAACAATTGCAGGGAATCAGCAGTACAGCAGATGAAGCTGAGAGTCACCTGAGCAATTTGGAATGTTAGGAACAGAAAACACCCAATCAGAACAGCAAGAAGAAAAAGAATCCAAAAAAAAGGAGGCCAGTGTAAGGAGCTTCTGGGACAACTTCGAGTGTACAAACACCACATCTTAGGGGTATTGTACTGGAAGGAGAAGAGAGAGAGCAAAAAATTGAAAGCCTATTTGAAAAAAATGACAGAAAACTTCCCTAATTTGGTGAAGGAAATAGACATGCAAGTCCAGGAAGCACTGAGACTCCCAAACAAGATGAACCCAAACAGGCCTACACCAAGACACATCATAATTAAAGTGCCAAATGTTAATGACAAAGAGAGAATCTTAAAAGCAGCAAGAGAAAAGAATTTAGTTATATACAAGGGAACTCCCATAAGACTGTCTGCTGATTTCTCAAAAGAAACTTTGCAGGCTAGAATGGATTACTCTATCCAGCAAAGCTATCATTTAGACAACAAGAAATAGATAAAGAGCTTTCTGGATAACAAAAAGTTAAAGGAGTTCATCATTACCATCAAGCCAGTATTATATGAAATGTTAAAGGGACTTATTTAAGAAAAAGAAAATCAAAACTATGAACAATAAAATGGCAAAAAAATACAAATCTATCAACAATTGAGTCTAAAAAACAAACTAAGCAAACAAGAAGAACAGAAAAAGAATCATGGATACGGAGAGCATTTTGATGGTTGCCAAATGAGAGGGTGGTGTGGGGGAGTGGTGAAGGGGTGAGGGTATTAAGAAGTACAAATAGCCATGAGGATATAAAATACAGTACTGGAAATGGAGTAGCCAAAGGACTTATCTGCATGACTTATGGACATGAACAATGGTGTAAGGATTGCCTGAAGGAGTTGGAGGTGCTGGTTGGAGGGAGCAAAGGGGGAAAATCAGAACAACTGTAATAGCTTACTCAGTAAAATGTAATTTAAAAAAAGAAAATTTCATTTCTTACTCTGAAATACTTTTGAGTTTACTGTGTCCACAAAAGGTTTTAAGTTGAGATGGTCAAAAATAGAGTATTGGGTAGATTTTAAATTCATTTTAAACTGGCCTTGGCTGGTGTGGCTCCGTGGATTGAGTGCTAGCCTGCAACTGAAAGGTCACTGGTTCAATTCCCCATCAGAGCATATGCCTGGGTTGTGGGCCAGGTCCCCAGTTGGCAACCAATTGATCCATTGATATTTCTCTCCCTCTCTTTCTCCCTCCCTTCCCCTTTCTCTAAAAATAAATAAATAAAATCTTTAAAAAAAAAAGGTGGTTGTGGTGGTAAAATGAGATGTTTACAAAAAGCACTTGGCAAAGCTCCAGGGCTATCATAGGTATTATTATGGTTGTTATCGTTGTTACTTCATATGTGATGAGTTCCTGATTTATCAGGTTTTCTTTGGTCATGGTGCACAATGTCTGAGGTCTGGAACTTTGAACTTAGTAAAATCAGGCAATCTTATCACTGCCACACACAGTATCTATATTTTGCCATTATTATATTCTAGCCAAGTGCATGTCAGTGGAATTGAAGACACAGAAGAAGAAAGAATTAAAGAAGCTGCTGCTTATATAGCCCAGAGGAATCTTCTTGCTAGTGAAGAAGGACTCACGACATCCAAACGGTCCACATCGTCGAAACAGTCTACATCCACTCTTCACCAGGAAGAAATTTTTGAGAAGAAGTCGAGGAAAGTTGCAATTCGGGAAAAGGCAGAACGCCTGTCACTAAGAAAAACGGTAAGAAAAGACACTTTAATATAATTTTAAAAAGTAGAAATGCATGTAACATATGTGTGTGTGTGTAAATTGATTTGTTTCAAATGAAGAAATGTGATCTTGTGGAGAAACAAAACTAAAGAAACAAAGAAGAAGGCATCAAAATATATATATCAGTGAAATACAAACTTAATTGTTTTAAACTGCATGGAATTTTAAGTTCTACAGAAATTAAGATTCTAAAGAACCTTAAGAAGTCCACCTTAGGGAAATAAAATATGTTCCTCAGGCTTAAAATGTTAAAAATTAAATGGTATATTTGTTTAAAAAGTACTAAGGAGTATGCATTTTATTTTAATACAAAAATCATGTTCCAAATGGAAAAAAGTATAACTTTGGTTTCTGCTTGTTATTTTAGTAGCACAAGTTACTTTGATTTTATAATATTTTTATTTTTTTCAGTTGGAAGAAACTGAGGCATTTCATAGAAAGTTGAATGAAGATCATCTTCTCCATGCTCCTGAGTTTGTCATTAAACTTCGTTCCCACACTGTTTGGGAGAAAGAAAATGTAAAATTATACTGCTCAGTATCAGGCTGGCCAGAACCTCGTGTCACATGGTATGTTATCTTTATGAAAGCTAATCATAGAATCAATTAAACAAAGTTAATTGTACCTCTTGTGAAAACATCCACCATTATAAGTATGCAGGAGTCGATGGAAACATTGACAAATTTGTGTATATTTTTTTAAATAGTGAAGAAAGGATACTGGGACTAATATTTTATGTGTGGGAAGAATAGTCTTTCACACATTATAATACATTGTGGTATTTTATAATTGCATTATACAAATGAGCCTTTACCTTGTATTGTGTTAAAATTTCATCAATATATTTACATACAAATTAAAAAATACATGTATAACTGCTATGGACCATACAAACTTGTTCTCATTAAATATAGGTATCATTTTGTGAGAAAAAGCAATACTGCCATTTTAAACACGATTAAAGCCCAAACGGCTCCAACTCTACTCCTTATGTGAACTCAGGTCTCAGTGAGTTTTCTGAAGCAAAAAAAAAAAATCCCAATATATATATATATAGGGATTTGATAGGAAATATCACTCAATGTGGGGCCAGAAAGAGTTTTCTTTCCATCAAGAATAAGCACCCCTTTTCTCCTTCCATTGTATACTCTATTGCAATTGTCAATGATTTTTGATCCCTAAACTCAGAATTTTCCTGTTTTATGTCATGAATGCCTGCCACAGAGAGCAGAAGTATGAAAATGATTGAGGCAACTCAAAAAGATGTTTTCCCCTTTAGTCTCTGACATGAGTATTTTGCATGTGTATTCTTATCCTCAGGAGTAGTGGTAAATGCACCCTGTGTTGTAGTATAAACACTACACTGGACGGCATTGTTGCCCGCAGAACCCCTGCCCCCTTCTCCTTTCTTCCCCACCATCTCTAGTGTTGGTTGGACACCTGGCTAGCAAGAATGGAGGTAGGTGACAAGATAGATTCTGTCTAAGGTCCTGTCTTGAGACCCTGTCTTAAGGAGCAGATAGTGTGTTTTTAAAAATTCACCTACGATATCAACCTACCTCTGATAATATTGGATTTACTTACATTTTTCTTGCATGTAAACTCTTTTCAGGGTTGTTGAGTTTGAAAAGCAAAGAATGAAAACCCAAGCCAGCTATATATTGCCAAGGCAAATAATTTAAAGTAAGCAAAAATGAGAAATGTAGGAACGTATTTCAATTCAAATGAAGTTTTAAAAATAAATTTACAAGCTTTAAGGTTCAAAAGTATACTGTAGTAAGCTAAGAATCAACCTATCTTTGCCTCACCTTTCTCTGTGAGTATAGAGTTGCACAATTTGGCCTATTAAAAGGGACATTTTCTGTTCAAAAACTGATTACTTCCCACCTTCAAAAAAAATTCAAACTTTCCTATAGAAGCACATGAAAAATAACAAATTCCCAGCTCCAAGAAATATTATTTGGTCAGTTAAAATATCCTTTCATGAAATGTAAATGTACTACTAATAAATGAATAATCAGAGTCCTTAATTAAGTACATATATTTATCACACAGCATCCCATCTCTGTTTTCCTGCCTTTTAAAACTTCAAGTTAAAGATGATTTTTGAAAGGATACAAAGTAATATCTGGGAGATAAATATTAATTTCTCATGCATTTATTTATTTTGTTAAATACACAGAAATCACAGTGCAAACATGCTTATGTACATTGATGGTGTTGTTTATTAAGCCAGAGCTATGTGGTTCCATGAAGGCAGAGTTCAAAGCATGTCAAAGATTAAACTCCTTACATTGTATTTGTTGGCTAGGAAAAAGAGCAATTTAAAAACAAACAATAAAAGATAAAAACTCCCCATAAAAATTTGAGATGACCAAATGATCAACTCTTAGAATTCCAGGTAAAATGAAAAAATCATACACATTGTCAATTTTAAGTTGTCTTTAATAATAAAACTGAGCTATAGTGCCATTCTTTACAAAACTTTCATATCTGGTGTTGAAATATTTATTTTCTTAACAATGACTTAGTGACTTTTATGTCCTAGGGGCTCCTTTTAAACAAAACTAAAAAGACAAAAGCAAGATTTGTCTTAGGAATGATTAGGAGGCTGTTCATCTATTGAAGCAAGCCTTTCTCTAGTTTCTACACCCGCTTTAGTGCTTGGAGAAGACGGCTTCACTCCTACCCAAATTTTCCCTGTAGGGATGGATCAGGGCACTTCACAGAAAGTCCTATTGCCTTGCAGTCAAGTAAAAAATAAAATATTACAACAAAAGAACTAGTGGACCACTAAGAAAATAGTTAACCATACTTTAGAGAGCAAGATTTGTCCCTGGATAGAACTAAAATTTGGACAATCAACTAGCAGATAACAGAATATTGGCAATGGCAATTAAGAGGTCAGATCCAGATTTTGTGGGGCATGAAGCTTATACAGTTTGGGGGTACTCTTTACAAAAAAGAATATAAAGTTAGTAGTATAAATTAGGCATAGAGTCTTGTGGAGACCTGTGCTAGTGAGAGACCCTACATCTTCAGTTTTATTGGCTCCAAGATAAATCCACCTCTGAGAGTAAACTTCTTTGTGGGATTAGTATACTCTCCTGGGTATGTTTCCTTTTCAAAAAAATAATCATTACATGAAGCTCTGATTTTACAATACTGGTAATGCAATCTTCAGTAAGCGTCCTTCCCCTCACAGCCCAAGCAAGAACCAAGGTACTTGGTGATTACTTTGCTGGCATTTATGCCTTTTTGAGTCCCAACTGCAGCTTCTTGGGTCTAATACTGAAGACAAATATGAAAGAAATAATTTAGAATGATCTCCCTGAATAGGAGGTAAATTACAGAAATAAATTTGTGATAATGCTTCATGCAGTCATGCTGCCTCTACTTGTAGCAGCTCGGGCCCTAGCTGCATCTTTCACAGGCATGTGTTCCTTGGGCCTGGCTCCCTTAGAACTCTTTCCAAAGACAGTTTCATTCCAGGTTTCCACTAGGCACCTTCAGATCATGGAAATCCCTGAGGTCTAACAAATGATATGAACACGCAGCAGCTGCTCTTTGGTCAGTCCCACGTGCTGACCAAGCCTATGTGAATGGAATCTAGAGGTTACTGGAGATGCTAAACCACAGGAACACGCATCGTTCATCATGGTCAGGTGCAGAGATCCTGAGGAGCACTATCCTATTCCCAACCCACTTTGAAAACAGAGGGAAGCCTGTTTAGGCCTTGGGTCTAGTAGAAAAGTTAGTTGCAGAAGACACTGCTGCACCACTACAGTGAAGGGGGCCACCCTGGAGCAGGACTTTGTCAACATAGAAAGAAAAGAATGTATGTGGTGAAAAAAACAAAGTTGTTTTCCTAAATAAGTTATATTTATGTAATAGCTTGCATAATAAGCTATATATTGGTCTAAAGAGGAGGAGAAAAATTTATGTTTGTATAGTCAGGAAACTCCATACTCATAGGTTTTACATCCATGCAGTCAGTCAACTGCATATTGAAAATATTTGGGGGAAAAACATCCCAGAAAGTTTCAAAAAGCAAAATTTGAATTTGACACATGCTGAGCACTATGTTGGATCCTTGGAAATGAAGTTATGCTAGGGTATACCTTATTGTAGCCTACATGCAAACATAGGTTACATGCAAATACTACACCATTTTATATCAGGGATTTGAGCATCTGTGGATTTTGGTATCTTCAGGGGGTCCTGGAACCAACCCACTGTGGATACTAAGGGAGGATTGTATTTTTTTATTTGCATAAAGGAACTCTGGAAGAAGATGTAAGAATCTAAGGAGAACAGTTAACTGTGAGGAAGAACTGGGTAGAAGGCAGGAAAGTGTGAGGAAGAAGACTCTTTTCCGTGCACCCTTATACTTTCTGGTTTGGGACCATAGAAATGTATTGCCTAGTGATTTTGAAAATTTACATGGCATATGGGAAAATAGGAAAGGTCCCTTTAACAGAAGGAGAGAATTGAGTTATAAGAGCCAGATTTAATTGAATTTCCAGTATAAAGTCTAGATCAATTTTATCAATGAAAATATGTATTGTAGGTCTGCAGGGAGATTTACATGAACTCCTTGGGGCATATGTTGGCATTAGTGAGCAGCATTCATTCATTAACTCACTCAATACCCAGTTTTTTAATCCATGTGTGGATATTGGGCTAGATCCTCAAGAGACACTTAAAATGTATGTTTAGAAATCTTCACATTGCCCCTAAAGTCATCTGAAAATAGACATGTAAAGAGATTGTCATTGTTCATGACAATAATTTAAAACCTGGTAATGAAATAGTATGAGAAATATATCTTAGGAAGAATGAAATTTGGAAAAGCCTTTTTCTATTTTTGCATATTAAAAGAATTTATAAATTTCATTATAAGATTATATATTGAATTTGTTTATAAGAGTATAGTTATCCACAATGTAGTATTTAAATTTTGTAGTTTCTATCATATTATCTTAGGAAAACAATCCACCTTTAAAATAGTTAACAACTATTTGTAAGTTTTAAGCACTTCTCAACATCGGGGTCTGGGATTTAGTTTAGATTTTTTTTATTTATGTAATTTCAAAATCTATCCAAATGGGATTGGTTTCTCTTGGCTAACTGATTTTTAAAGTGAATAATAACTATTTATTCAAAGCATAAGGTTGGAGTCTAAGCAGTAGTCACCTTTGTGGAGAGATTAAACAGGCTAAATATCATTTTGGCATGTGTTATTTGCTGATAGAAAAAAAATAGAATGAAGCCCTTTTATTTGACCATGCTTCACACCACCAAAGAGCCTTCATTATTACCCTCATTATCAAAGTCAGCCCAATACCCAAACAGACATTTGTTTAAGAAAATCGAATGTATGTTTTACACACACACAGAGGATTAGTCTATAAATACTTACAGTAAATGGAAGCTCATTAACTGTTTGTAGCCAGTACATGAAAGTAATAAGGAAAATAGTGTATATCTGAATATGCACAAGAATTTCAGAAACCTCTTGACAGATAATCCCAGGGCTTTCCAAAATTAGCTCATGACTGGCCAGTTTGGAATTTCACTTTCCAGAAATAACAAGCTGTGAAGCGTATACAGAGCAGGCCACACACCCTTCCTTCCTTTCCTGACTTAATGCTCAACAGCCAATCTCAAGTGACCCCCAAAACTGAATGCCTCGGTGAAGTCCATGGAGAATAGGATTGAATTGCTTCTTGATTTATGCCTTGTCCACTGCTTTAAAACAGGTGTTTCTTACACTAACATTTGGAATACCAGAGGAAAGACTAGAAGATCCTCAAAGTGGGGTGTGTGCATATGAGTCTATGTGTTTTAAACTGATTTCATGTGCCAGGTAGTCACATTAGAAACGTAATTAAGGAGCTAAGTCAGGTAGTACTGGAGAGCACGCAAGGTGAAGCAGCCCTGGGAGATGCAAGATACTGTTTTAACTCAAACTTTATGGAGATGTTTGGTCAGAAGCTAAATTGTGTGTCACTCAGTTTTGGATCAAGTAGCACATGCCACAGCCTTTGGTGTCATATTTCTCTTTATAGGCTGAAAAGAAATATTGAAAAAACCCAACACATAAAAAAACTGAGCAAGAAGGAGCTTCTGAGTCAAGTGTGAAATTACATAAACCAATTCAATCAGAAGAACATGTCGATGATCAGGCCCTACCCCGTCATTTATCAAACTGAGGAATGTTGGAAATTAGAAGCAGCCAGCAGATTTCTTTTTACAGGCCATCCCTGAGCAGAGAGTCCTGCCTGGCTGCGCCCTGTGATGAGACAGCTGGTTGGGGCTGCTGCTGGGCTGGCAGAAAGCAGCTGGCAGTGTGCTCTAAGGTTGGGTGGGTTATACCGCTATGACTGCCATGCAACTGCAGTTCTTTTTTTTCTTCACTTAAAAAATGTTTTTATTTTTCAATTATAGTTTATATACAATGTTAAGTAAGTTCCAGGTGTGCAACCTAATGATTAGACACTTACATAACTTATGAAGTGATCATCCCAATAAATCTAGTACCCATTTGACATCATACATGCAACTGCAATTCTTAAGTCAGTCCAGCCCTCTTATTTTAGACCAGGGAGAACTGAGACACAAGAGCCTCAACTTACTGTTTTCATATGCACTTCCACATCATGAAGTATATGCTTGTCAGAACTCTGTTCCTGCCCTGGCTGGTATGGCTCAGTGCATTGAGCACCAACGTGTGAACCAAAGGGTTGCCTATTCGATTCCCAATCAGGGCACATGCCTGGGTTGCAGGTCAGGTCCCCAGTAGGGGCCATGTGAAAGGAAACCACACATTGATGTTTCTCTCCCTCTCTTTCTCCCTCACTTCCCCTCTCTAAAAACAATTTTTTAAAAAAGAACTATATTCCTTTGGCCAAAAATTATGAAGTTATAATTAATATATTGCATTACAAAATAATTCCATTCAACCCAATTTGATAAACACTGAGTGCCTAATATGTGCCTATGACTCATTTTTCTTGAAAGTGGGAAGAGAAATAAATGTAGATCAGATATAATCCCTATCATCAATGCACTGGAAGCTTAGTAGAAGTGACATATATTCAGCCATAATTTAATAAGTGTTATATCTTACAATTTGATCCAAGTAACACTGATGTAGAGAGACAGGAAAAAAATTAATGTTGTGTGGGTGTTTTAGGGAAGAGTTTATTGAAGAAATGGCATTTGATATGATACTTGAAGGATCAGTTGGGATTTTGCTAAATGGAGGAGAATGATTCATTTTAAAAAGCATAGAAAATTGATATGTGTTTTAGTGACACAGAGCCTGTGTGCACATGTGTGTGTGAGTGGTGCAAGCTGGAGAGAAGAACTGATTAAAGGTTGTTTTCTTTCCTTCTCTCCTTTACCACCACTTTCCCTGATCCAAAATCTCCTTATAAACATTTCCAGACATCTGAAGAAGTAAAATAGAGTTAAATAGAGAACAATTGGAAAAATGGAAGCATCGCATGTTGTCAGGAGCCAGATTGCCTTGTTCAAATCTCAGCTCTGCTATTCCTAGCTGTGTGAACTGGGACAAGTTACTTCACCTCTTCATGCCTTGGTGTCTTCATCTGGAAAATGATGTTAAAAATAGTTCTGCCTTATGTGGTTGTTGTAAGGGTTGAGCTTACTAATCTACTCATAAAGCACTAGAACCTTGCCTGGCTTATAGTAAATGCTCTGTGTCAGTTGTGGTTATTAATGTTATTTATGTTTCTGTTCATGAAAAGTGGGGCATCTGAAAAGGAAACAAGTAAAATCCAACTCCTCCTTTGGGCAGAAAGTGGCTTAAGCAGGAGAGCCTGGTTTGACACCATAGTCACTGGAAATTGAGATCATGAGGACGCGGTAAAGAATCAAGGTGTCGTTTCTGGACTTGGGAGAGAGTCTCTCAGGAAGGGCCCCTCCATGTAGCCTTACTCTCTGAGGCCTGAGAGGCTTAAGTAGGGATAGGACAGTCAGAAAAAGGGAATCAATCTTTCAGCTTTTATCAGAAGTTTTTTCATGATCAATATATTTTAAGTTCTTCCAAGCCAAGAACCATGCTTGCTTATGACAGAATAAAACACTTAAATATAGTGAGCTTCCAATACAATCATGCTGTTTTTTTAACAAGCAAGAATGTTAGTAGGAAGAATGTTTTGCTTTCATCCTACGTAGACAGCCAACAATAAAACACCCAGCAAAAAAACTTCTCCTCTGTTGTGTCAACAATGGTCAAGTTTTTCTTTACATCTTTTATTGAAGTATAATATGCACACAAAGAGTGCATATTATATATGAATGTGGAGCTTTGATGAATTTCTGTAGACTGCACACACCCACGTAACCAGCACCCAAATCAAGAAACCAACCATTATCAGCACCCAAGATGCCTCCTTCATGTTCCCTCCACCCACTCCTCTACACCCGACACCCCAGAGGGATATCATATTCCTGACTTCTAGCAGCATGAATTCGTCTTTTCTGGTTTTGTACTTATAGAAATGCAGTCACTGCACTGTGTACTCTTTTGTATCTGGCTCTTCCACTCAACATTATATATGCAGGATTCAGCCACATTGTTATGAATAGTCAGCTTTTTAAATGTAATTTTTATGATGGACAGGAAAGTAAGGACAGTGAGAAGCTTTGTTGTATTAACCGTGAACTTTATTTAGTCTACCATAGATTTGCCTTTATTGGACTGATGCTGCTGCTGCCCTCAGTGCTGTGTTTACAGGTGTTCCTTCAAGAACAAGAATTATGTATGTGTGCACTTTTAATCGTGAAGATGTTTACATTTTGACTTACTTCCTCTTGTTTCCATTGTCTCATAGGTATAAAAACCAGGTGCCAATAAATGTTCATGCAAACCCTGGAAAGTATATTATAGAAAGTCGATATGGAATGCACACGCTGGAGATTAACAAGTAAGAGGACATCAGAGTCTCTGTGTGTTGCCTTATGATCACTCAGGGAGGCACCTCACTGCTCCATTTAGTAGCTGCCCTCCACCCTTGTTCCCAGTGCAGCGCAACCACAATGGGGGACCTGCACGTGCATTGCCTCTCCAGGTGCCCAGCTATGGGCAGTAGGCATGACTCATTCTTGCCAAGCCCACTTTACCTAAAGTGATCTTATGTTTGAATTCAGTCAAAAAATATTAAGAAAAACACAATTTGTATTTTTTATTTATCCTTTTATATACTGGTGAGTTTTTCTTAGACATCATTAAGAAAATAAGTTACATAAATAGACATATTCAGTTGTCCTTTCAGAGTTCCAAATCAACATCATCATTATCACATTCTTTTGCCTTCAATCAGTAAAGCACATGGAGGTTGGTTTGGGCAGCAATGAAAGTAAGCTGGACTAGGAGAAACTGCTCTTTCCTTCTGCTCACCAGGGACTGTGGAAAACAGTGCACCCACACTATCAACATTAGATGGAGGTAGGGTGGAAATTGGGGTGTTTTAAAGCAAAATCCAAAGCAAAATTTGAAAGTAGAACCTACATCAAAATTTTTAAGTCCTCAAAAGTTTATCATGTCTCCAAAGACAGTTTTGAGACTCATGCATCGTTACGTGGATAAAAAGGTTAAACAAGTTCCCACCACTTTCAGTTCACATAAAACCATGACATGCTGAGATGTCAAAGTAAAATTTGCATGATACTGACCTTTAGAGGTTTATAGCCTTCTCTTCAGAGCAGAGCAATTTACACATGTGATGCTGGACTGCAGCCAGAACCTGGCACCCTGTGACATGTGCCAAGCTCTGTCCCTGACCTCATGTCACACCAATCCTGCCAATAGCTGGTTCTAGAGAGAAAACAGTGTGCTATGTGGTTGCTTGATAATTAAACAGTTACAGGAAAGACAACTGTATTGATCTTCCCGGGACTCTACTACTGTCTGTACAATTTCAACAAGAATAAGTTTACACAAGTGAAACTAAATTTGGAGGGACATGGAATAACACAGACACAGGTAGCGATAAGACACAAAACAACTTGCTTTGTAATCTTAGCCTGTTCATTTCTCTATGAGATCATTATCTCCTTAACTCCATTATTAAAGACATCCCAATTCCTGTATTATAACTCAGAGGAACTTCCAAATGGCAGTTCTTGTGTTGTACTGTGGGCCAAAGCTCCAGGTATGCCCTGAACCTTAGTAGAATTAAGGAATAAATAACTTGTTTGTACTTTGAGGCTAGAACACAGAACAACATGTTAGACCCACCTGGATCTGGCCCATGGCTCCAGGAGACTGTGGGAATGTACAAGCAGAGGCTGTTTCTTTCCCTGTCTGTTGCCCTGTCGCCCCCAGACTCAAATCACCCTGAGGGAGACCAACAGGGAGGCTGTGCTCCCAGTTTATCATAATGCTGTTCATGCTGTAATGTATGTGCTTATTGACATTTCTTGGACATTATAAATGAACCCAGGCTGGGGTGACAATGAACTATAGGGTTTCTCCCATTCTGTGCTGCGGGGTTGAACCTTCTTGAACTACATAAAATCCCACAGGGAGCCAGACCAGAGAGAGCAGCTTCATCAGGAGTTCCTTAGCACAACATGTTAACCACTGATTCGCGGTAGAAAAGAGATTCTTGAAGGAATGGCTAATAATTACAAGGAGTATCACTGTGATGGCCATGCATTTCTGTTTGTTCTTTTAGATGTGATTTTGAAGACACAGCTCAATACCGGGCCTCGGCCATGAATGTTAAAGGAGAGCTTTCAGCATATGCCTCGGTTGTGGTAAAGAGTAGGTTTGCTGGACTTGCTTTATTCAAAATGTATTTTTATAATTGTTCTCATTGCTAAAAAATAAGTGAAGAAGCAGTTCACATGCATTTCTGCTTTCTTTTCTAGGATATAAGGGAGAATTTGATGAGACTCGTTTCCATGCTGGGGCTTCTACCCTGCCCCTCAGCTGTAAGTTTAAAAATATGTTTGCTAAGTGCCATCTCCACTTAAAATACAGCATAATATGCTGTGCACCTGAAACTAATATAATATTGTCAACTATAATTAAAAATTAAAAAAGAAAAAACTCATGGAATTGTACACTGGAAAGGGTGAAATTTACTATATGTAATAATGCTTTAGTAAACCTGACTTTAAAAAATGGAAAAAGTAAAAAATAAAATAATAATATAAAATACAGTATAATAAGCTATCCTATAATGCTGAAATAAATGCATAGTATATATTATAATATAAATATAATAATGTAAATATTATAATATTTGCTAATATAAAATATGTATATAATAGCTACCTATAGTCAGTTTTGTATTTTTAGATTCTTTGGTTATTATTCTCTTTCTGCATATAATGGCTTTGTTCAGGTTTTATAAAAGCCGAGATGTGATGGGTTAAAAAAGGCAAAGACTTTTGTGACTTTCTGCATAAAATGAGAAGGATCATTGCACAACCCTGGGCGGTGATTTAACCTCACTCACACACACACAGGCACACACACACACGAGTCGGGACTGTCGGGAGCAGTTTACTCATCCTTAAATATCCAGGTCAGCATCTTCTCCTCGAGATGTCCATGTGGACCCTCACTGCCACCCCTACCCCCACCCATTCAGAGTTGGGTGTCCCCGGTGAATCCACAGCCCCTCCACCAGGATCCCTGTCACACTGTAAACTGTTGTATGTTTCCCTTTCCCAGTGGCCCATGAGCCACTTGAAGGCAGGGCTGCACTTTTATCTTTAACCCCCAGCACCTAGCACAGAGTAGTAGTTCAATAATGAATGAATAAACAAATACATTAATTTATGAAGTATGATTTAAAATGAAGTCTAAATGTGGTTAAAAATATTCCAATTAGTGGTAATTTGTGAATTTGTGAACTTCAATTATTTCATCTACGTCAAAACTTTTTCCATGAGAAGCAATAAAAATAAAATCCTTATGGTACTTCAAATAATTAGATGCTTACAATGATCAGACTGAAAAAGATAGCCAAATCCTAACTTCTTGATTTCCAAACATTAAAAAATAAGTAGCAGTTTTGAAATGACTGATGAAGATACTTTCTCATGGGTCAGGTTTTCACCTAACTGGTTAGTCTGATGTCTATAGATGACATACTCTATGAACAAAATAGCTCTTAATTTTAATATTTCAGTTTAATCACTGGCATTGATACCATGGGCAGGAAGGGATGGTAAGTGGGAGTGAGGGAGGAATGCATTCCAAATCATGTCCTCCTATCATTTGATTTATATGGAGACAGTATTCTAGCAGAAATCCTGAAACTATGACTTATCTGCCCATGTCCCCAAGAGTAGCCTACCGATCATTACACAGTTTTCTGAATGCATCTTGCTCATTCTCACTGCCATTTCATTATCATCCATGTTCCTTCCATTTCCCTCTTCTACATCAAGTCAGGGTCTGAAAGCCCAGCTCAACCTGACTCCTCTAATTTCTTAATCTTTCTGAGTCTCCTCTGATTGGCCCCTGAATTAATTGCAATTGTTGCCAACAATTGCAACAATTGCAATTAATTCAGTTGCAATTAACAATTGATGAGTCCTCTGTAGAAAACAGAGGACTCATCAATTTATTCAATTAATATTTATAGAGCATCTGCTATATGCTAGGAACTGGTTTAGGTGCCCAGAATATGCTGATAAATATAGATAAAGCTCTCTGCCCTTGGTTCTGTTCTAATAGCTAATATGTATTGATTAGTTGTGCCAGACACTGTACTAAGTCATTTTTTATAGGCACTGATTCATTTAATGCTTTCCCAAAGTTTATGAAATAAGTACCCTTTTATCTGTGACATGCAATTGAGGAAGCAGGTTAGGGAGTTTAAATCATGGGGCAAAAATACATATAGTGGCAGAGATATATAGGGACTTGTAACCTGGTCTTTCTAATTTTAAGCCATATTCTAAACCACGGGTCAGCAAATAATATTTTCTGTAGAAGACTAGATTGTGGGCCATACGGTTTTTGTTACAACTATTCAGTGTTGCCATTGTAACACAAAAGCAGCCACAGACAATAGGTAAATGAATGAGCATGGCTGTGTTCCAATAAAATCTCATTTATAAACATTGAAATTTTAATTTCCTATTGTTTTTCACATGTCACAAAATCTTATTCTTCTCTTTAAATGTTAAAAAAAAAAACCATTCTTAATGGTACAAAACAGGAAGCAGTCTAGACTTAGCTTACAGATTTGCCAACTCCTAAACCTCAGGTCTACTGTAACCCTTATCTTTGCCCCCTAAGTCAGCTTTGGAATCAGCCCTGCTTCCCAATGAGGGAGGTCTGGTCAAGTTGTTTTGCCTTCTGGTTTCAGTGGGACATTATCATATAGAAGTAGGGCAGGTAAGACATGTTTCAAAGAGAAGTTATTCCCATGTTGGTTATAACCAACTCATGTGTTACCAGTGGTTGCCTGGCAACACACAAGTTCAAGGCAATACCATGTAATGGTTGACAGCACAAACTGTAGAGACATCCTGCCAGTGTAAATCCTGGCTCTGTGAGGTGAATGTGAGCAGTTATTCAATCTCCCCATGTTGCAGTTTCCTCGTCTATAAAATAGAGATAAGTAATGGTATCTATCTGATAGGGTTTTTGCGAGGCTTGAGTTAATGGATATTAAACACTTGGACAATACCTGGCACAAGTTGAACTCAATAAATGTTAGCTTGCTGTTTCAAATTAATACTAAGAGATCTTAGGGAGAGAGAAATGAAACATGAGAGAAAGGGCCTGAGTTTTAGAGATGGGCAGGTATGGGTTTGAATTTGAATTTCACATGTGATACCTTTGAAACCTTGTCATTAGCTGTACATTTGTGAACTTCTATATCCCCCTCTGAAAGAAATGAAAAACTAGTATCTATGCTGTGGTGTTTTTGCAAGGATTAGATGATGTCAAATGTAGTGTGCCTGGCATTGTAATAACCTGTAATAAATAGTTGTTATCTTCTCAAGCCCTTTTCTTTGAGAAAAAAAGAAAATCAGGGAGAGTTCATGATGCAGGCATTTATACAATCTATAAATTAGACATTTCTAAGAAAAAAATTTAAGTTACAGTATTTTAAACCTTTTAGTATTGTCCATTGACATTTCTTATATTTTTTAACTTAGATTATTAAAGAAATTAAATCAACTTACTGAAAAACTCATTTTTCATGACTAATTGATATGGCTATTTGTTCTAAGATTACAAGCAGTAGTTTAAATGAACTCAGAATCTAAAATTTAAAAGCACATATGTATTGAATATATCTCTACTAACTATTTAAGTCTAAGCTAAATGTGGTATTAATTTACATTTTATATAAGGCATTAAACCTGACCTTTAAATTATATTAATTATAGATAAACTTTTCTGACCAATGAAGCAAGAATTTTCATACTCAGAAATGACATACATGTCATTTCTCATAAGGACATGGGAATATGCTACATACTTCTTTTATTAGACTTAATTTTTGCTCAGATAAATTATTTGATTGGTATTTGTTGTGACTGCTCTCTGCCAGTACTTATTAAAATGCTTATGTCTCTTTGATGAGAAGAAATAAATTACTGATGTTTTTGTTGTACCTAGGCGCTGTGACCCCTTATGGTTATGCATCTAAGTTTGAGATCCACTTTGATGACAAGTTTGATGTATCTTTTGGGAGAGAGGGTGAGACGCTGAGTCTAGGCTGCCGTGTAGTCATCACTCCTGAAATTAAGCATTTCCAGCCAGAGGTCCAGTGGTACAGAAATGGTGAGCCTTGATAACGAATTCTCACTTAGGTTCTTATTCACAGAAGGTCAGGCTTGGCACCAGAGCATGAATGTCCATAAGACTGCAGATCTGTTTACCAGAGCTGGCAGGAGCTGGGCATCAGAGGGCATAACCTATTGAAAGTTTAAAAAGTTTTTTACACATATATCAAAGCAGTAGAATTTTGATAATATATTTGAAGAAATTATAATTTACCACCAAGTAACGTATGGAAAGGATTAAAAAAATGTGATTTTCCTTATGTTACTTGGATATACATTCATTTTGTAAGTTAATTTTATTTGGCAAAATAAATGAAGTTTACAGTCCAATGAGACTATGGAGCATGTCAGTTGTGCATGGGGCCACCTGGGGTAGTCTGTGGCACTGTGGAGTCCCAAGGCAATGGCTGGAACCTGGGCTCAGGCTGAAACCAGCATGGTGGTGGCAGCAGCAGCATCGATGGTAGACATGTCCCTAGAGGAGGAAAGGGGCAGCATAGGAACCATCAGTGGGAGGCCAGCTTGCCAGGCAATCCCCAGAACTTATCTTTGTGGGGCCTGCGCAGATATTAGATCCCTGGCCTGAGCACTGCCAGGAACTACCAGCAATCAGGCAGTAATCTTTGTAGACATTGCAATGAAACATGTAAGGCATTTGGTAGGATTCTTCAAAGAGTTTAGAACCTCTGGTTATGAAAACTGCCACACCACAAAGCGACTATATACAAACTTAGACATAGAAATTAAGTTGTTTTTTTAATTTATTTTTAGAGAGAGGGAAAGGGAAGGAGAAAGAGAGGGAAAAAAACATCCATATGAGCGCCCATATTGGGGACCAAACCCACAACCTAAGCATGTGCCCTGATCGGGAATTGAACTGGTGATCCTTCCCTTTGTGGGACAATGCCCAACCAACTGAGCCACACCAGTCAGGGCAGAAATTAAGTTTAAAGATTGTAACATTCAATGTAAAAGAACACCTTTTATATGAAACTTGGGATAAAGCAGTTATTAACAAGGAAGATAATTTCAAAATTAATTTTTCCTCCTAATTGAAGAGATAGTGATAGAATAGCGATAGAATACATAAACAGGTGTTTGAGTTCCATACAAACCATAAAGTCACTTTCATTTTCTTCTATGACCTTCATAAATTATGGGACATGTAAAAGAAAATATTAAAATGCAATTATGTAAATTTGCACTTAAAATTTTAGGCTTACATGAAACTGACTTGTATAAGGTAAATCTTGTTAGAACAATCATTTTTCAAGAATAATCAGCTCTAGAGCAGTAAAATTTATATTTTGAAATAGTTTATCAGAAAGTTAGCCCAAGGTATATAATACTATTCAGTATACATCTATGTAATTCTATGACTACACAACACTCTTAACAGCTGCAGTAATAGGTGCATCAGCAGAAAGATTCTCCTCAAAATAAAAACGTTTCAGATCTCCTTTGTGATCTTACATTTGCAAAGCATGACTGATGTTGCTTTAAATTATATCCATTTAAAATGAACTTGCTGCCCTGGTTGGTGTGGCTTAGTGGATTGCATGTTGGCCTAAGAACTGAAGGGTCACAGGTTTGATTCCCAGTCAGAACACAAGCCTGGCTTGCGGGCCAGGTCCCCAGTTGCATGCAAGAGGCAACTGATCAATAAATCTCTCACATATCAATGTATGAGAGATTCCTTTTCTTCTTCTCTCTCTAAAAATAAATAAAATCTTTAAAATAAGTAAGTAAATAAGTAAGCAAATAAAATGAAGTTGCTAAAGGTATGAGTTGATTACCTAATTACTAAATTTGCACAAAAGCAAGCCAGAAATATTTATTATTAATCAAAATATCACATTAATAAAGTATTATTTTTGTAAAATAATGGCACAAAAATATTAGCTTCTGCAGTGTGTATCATTCTGTATTACACTTTATAAGTAATAAACTATTTTTAGAGGGAAAAGCCTAATACTTTATGTCCTTTTCAACGTGCTTTTTCCTCTGCTTTTTGAACAAGGGAACTTGCCATTTCATTTTGCACTGCAGATTGTGTATCTGGCACTGGTTCCCTCATGGCTTATCTAGCTAGTATTTTTACCAATATAAACATGGCAGGATGGCTCAAAGCTCTAGAGACTTCCTCTAGTAGTTAAATAGCTTTCAATACAGAAAGAAGAGGAATAGAGAGAGAAAAAGAGGTAGGAGCTTGGGGGAGAGGGAGAGAGAGGAGTGGAGGGGAGAGAGGAAGGGAGTAATAAAGAAAAAGATCAGTTAATTTGCTGACTTCTCCTCCCCCACCCCCTACCCCAGGAGTACCTGTTTCTTCATCAAAATGGGTAGAAACACATTGGAGCGGAGATCGGGCAACACTGACATTTTCTCATCTAAATAAAGAAGATGAAGGCCTCTACACAATCCGTGTACGAATGGGAGAATATTATGAACAATACAGTGCTTACGTCTTTGTTCGAGGTAAGGCTTAACAGAAAGCAGAACACCCGAGAATATTTAAAACAATGAGGCCAAATCAATCTATCCAAACATGTTTTTTGTAATGATAAAAGAGCTATTTGAAAATTCTTGCAGATTAAATGGCATAGGTATATTAACTTCCAGACCTGATGCAAAAAAATTAACACTGAAGGCAACAACCCCAAAATAACTAGTTTCCAAATTGTGCTACTGTCACTAATGATGGCTTCTTCCTTGTCTTCAGTGAGCCAACAATGCAATTTGAGTAGAGATGTTAAATCCTTTATGAAAAGCCATCTTAGTTTATGGATGCTGCAACAACAACAAAAAAATGATGGGTTATTTGGGAACTTACTCTTTAATATCTATTTTGAGGAACAAATTTATTATTTAATTTCATAGCTTTTTTATAGCTTTAGCTTTAATGAACTAGGTAACAAAGTGCTAAAATTTAATTCATAAGACAAACTATTATAATCATTGATTGATTTTCAGGAGTCTTTCATCAGTGTCTTGAATGGATCAAATATGTACAAGGGCAAATGTTATCTCTACATGTTGTCCTAGTACACTGGGAAGACCATTAACACCTCCAGGCTACAAGGGTAGTGTTCTGTGTTCTTTTATGTGATGGTCAGCCAATTGTGAACACAGCAGGAGTCAGAGGAGAAGCTCAGGAAAAAGGTGTTTCATACTCACAAATTCTTGATAGATGAGGGGCAGCCTACCATTCAGGGCCACGTGAGGAAGTACCAGCATTGGTTGGTTCAGGGCAAAAGGGGCAGGAGTTAGGGGAGAGCATAACCCATGGCCTTTACAGCAGTTTCTGTGGGAAAGGCAAGACAGAGCAAGGCAGTTTAGGATTGTCTAGTGTGAATAATTTTGGTAGACTCTAAACTGTAGTGGTGTCTAGTTGTCTGGTACCTGGCCCTAGGATGGTTAAGCCAGAAACATATTTCTGCCTGGAGTGCATGGGTCAGATCTAGGAGATAGGGCTCTGGTTGTTAGTTTGTATATCAAAGACATGCCAGGCTGAGCCCTTTGCTATCTCCAAGATTTGACTAGTTGACAGAGGAAAGGGGAGGGAGCAATCTCTCTCCAGCCAGAAAGGTTTGTTAGAAGTCCAAAAATCTTAATAAACAGAAAATAAAAATATAAACAGTACAGGTAGACTTGTTAATTTTTTAGGCTTGCTAAGATGGTTATGTTCAATGTGGTTATTGAGTCTCAGATCCCATCGATACTGTTACATTGCACCCTGTGGCGCTATCTATGTTCCCATTGTGGACTATGGAAAACAGAGAGAAAGGAAGTAGAGGGGAAGATGCAGACATGCACACATCACTTCCCATGTGAACACTTAGCCACATGCACACATCTCACAGTGAGGGAACCTAGGGTGTCTAGTTTCTGGTTGGGCAGCCATGTTCCCTGCTAAAGCTCAGCAGTTCAAGTACTAAAAGGAAGGAGGAAGAATGAATACTGAGAACACTTAGCAATCAGTCTATGCAACACCAGTACTGAATAAGAATAAATGATCATTGAATTCTGCCACTGACCAGCAACTGACAAAGATACGTGAATATCTATACCAAATTAAAATATGTGTTAGATTTTCCCCTACATGAAAGCATTATGGGAAAAATTAGAAACCATCAGGAGGAAGAAAGAAGCTAGCCTTCTGAGTAATTTCAGTGAAAACAGACACACGGGAAGTTATCAGTAAGATTCTTTAGCCAAACCATCTAGATGAACCTATTAGGTGAGAATTGAATACGCAAAGTCTTTGTCTCTGTTCTCAATTATCTTACCTTAACCAGAGAGTATCCTTGGTGATTCCAAAATCCTTAGTTATGCCTTGGTGACTTCTTTCTGGACTTTTCGGGCACTCTGACATAGTCCAGAGTTTCCTCAACAACATTTCTCAATGCCCACGCTCAGAATTGTGGTTCTCTGTCAGGTTTAAGCCAGTCTTCAGATAACTAACTGTAGCCAGGGGAAAGGTCTTAAAACTTAAATTTATACTTCAGCCAGTTTTCAAATCCATAAAACAAGGAAATGGAAGATTATAAAATTTACCAGATGTTTATATGAGAGAAATGAAAAGGTAAATGGGAAAGGCAAAATTGAAAAGACAATTTCAGCAATTGCATTGGGAATTTACCATCTTTTAGAAAAAAAATTCCCATGCTAAGTTTTTTTTAAATTATGTATTTTAGATTCTTTTAAAAAATCTTTACTGAGGTATAATTTACATACTATAAGATTTAACCATGTTAAGTATGCAATGCTTTCTAGAATATTTATGGAGTTGTATAATCATTATCCACAATCCAGCTTTAGAACATTTCTATCATTGAAGAGATTTCTCTTGCCCATGCCCCACTCATCCCCAGCCTGGCCCTAGTCAGTCACTAATCTGCTTTCTTTCTCTGTAGACTGTTCTTTTCTGGGCATTTGTGGGTATAGCATGTGACCTTTTATATCTATCTTCTTTCCTGGAGCATATATTTGGAGGTTCATCATGTTAGTGGTTTGTTCCTTTTTATTGTTGACTAGTATTGTACGGAATGGATATACCTCACTGTGTCTATCCATTCATTCACCAGTTAATGCAGGGGTGTCAAACTCATTTTCCCTGTGGACCACATCAGCCTCGTGGTTGCCTTCAAAGGTTTGAATGTAATTTCAACTCCTTAACAGTTAAGGAGTAGTTACATTTGTACAGCCCTAAAATTATTTCAGCCCTTTGAAGGCAACTGTGAAGTTGATGTGGTCCCTGATGAAAATGAGTTTGACACCCCTGAATGAATGATTTCCACCCTTGGGCTATTATGAATAAGGCTATGAAAATGTGCACTCTTATTTATGGGTCTAGGTTTTCATTTCTCTTGGGTAGATAGATGCTTATAAGTGGAATTTCTCATCATGAGTTAAATTTATGATTAACCCTTTAAGAAACTGCCAGTGTGTTTTAAATGACATTTGCTGTGTTTTTTAAAACTTTGTAGTGAGCTGTGTGAGGCCATTTCAATGCATTTTTTTAGAGCTCTGGTATTTTTGCTACTTAAAAAATAACTCCTGAACCAGACTGATCAGTATATACAGCACCATATGTCTGTACACATTCCAAAGCTGTACTCATTTGTCCAGGATTTTATAAGTACATAGACAATGTGGTTTTTTGGGGGGGAGGGAGGAATATAAATAAGCAAAAAAGAAAAAGAAAAGCCATCTATAAGTTTACCATCCAGAGATATCCAGTGTTATCATTTCATTACATAGTCTTCTGGACTTCTTATATGCAGGGTGGGCAAAAGTAGGTGTGCAGTTGTGAATTCATGAAACAGAGTTTATTCTTATTTATTTATTAATTATTGTACTATTTTCCATCTGAACAAATTTAAACCTGCTTTGTGTCACCCCTGTATTCTTTCCTCACCATCTCCCAGAGAGAGAGAGGGTGAGGGAAGAGATAAGAACATGATAAAGACCGGGATAAAAATGTCATGAAAAAAAGAATTATTAATGGCAAATAAATATATGAAAAAGTTTTCACTAGTAATCAAAGTAATTTAAATTACAATAATATAATGTATTAATAGATTGTATTAAAGAGATTTAAAAGATTTTTTAAAATTCTCTGAGATAAAGGAGTGGAGGGACTAGCACTCCTATTATTCAACTTGTCTCAGGGTGTTTTGCCACCATGTATTGTAGGCACATTTACAATAATTCTAGTTTTAGGGACTTGAGTGGACAAACTGAAAAAAAATTGTATGGGATGTTGGGAAACATCTGGAAGAAATATAGATATTCACCAATGGCAGTTGTAAAATAAAGTATAATCAATAGCTCCATATAACCAAAGGAATACCATACAGCAATTAAAACTAATGATCCATAATTACATTTATTGATATAGAACTATATCAAAAAAAGTCAGTTTAGACTTCTGGCCAAGATGGAGGCACAGGTAGATATACTGTGCCTTCTCACACAACCAAAAGGACAACAACAAATTTAAAAACAAGCAATAACCAGAACTGCCAGAAAATAGAACTATATGGAAGTCTGACAACCAAGGAGTTAAAGAAGAAACATTCATCCAGACAAGTCGGAGGGCCAGAGACTGGCAGCCTGGGTGGAGAGGACTTGTGGCAAGGTGGCAGTTTGTGGAGTGGGTGGTCCCATATTTGCATGAGGATGAGCCGGGAGGAACAACTTGGGAACAAGACAGACAGTGCAACCCAAAGTTCTAGTACAGGGAATAAAGCCTCAGTACCTCTGATTGAAAAAACCTGTGGGGGTTGAGGTGGTGGGAGAAGCTCCCGGCCTCACAGGAAAGTTCGTTGGAGAGATCCACAGGGTCCTAGAATGTACACAAACCCACCCACCTGGCAATCAGCACCAGAAGGGCCCAATTTGTTTGTGGGTAGCAGAGGAAGTGACTGAAAGTTGGTGGACAGCCAAACAAATGGCATTGTTTCTTCTTGGACCCCTTCCCCACAGATAGCACCACAACATAGCAACTTGGGTTGCCCTGCCCTGGCGAATACCTAAGGCTCCACCCCTTACTATGTAACAGGTGCACTGAGGAAAAAATAAACAGCCCAAAGGAATGAACAGATCAAAGCTCCAGAAAAAATATAACTAAGCAATGAAGAGATACCCAACCTATCAGATACACAGTTCAAAACACTGATAATCAGGATGCTCACAGAATTGGTTGAGTATGGTTGCAAAATAGAGGAAAAAGTGAAGGCTATGAAACATGAAAAAAGGAAAATATACAGGGAGCTAACAGTGACAGGAAGGAAACCATGACTCAAATCAACAGTTTGGAGAAGAAGGAAGAAATAAACATTTGACCAGAACAGAAGAAACAAGAATTCAAAAAATGAGGAGAGGCTTAGGAACCTCCAGGACAACTTTAAACATTTCAACATCTGAATCATAGGGGTACCAGAAGGAGAAGAGGAAGAGCAAGAAATGAAAAACTTATTATAAACATAATGAAGGAGAACTTCCCCAATCTGGCAAAGGAAATAGACTTCCAAGAAGTCCAGGAAGCTCAGAGAGTCCCAAGGAAGTTGGACCCAACAAAGCACACACCAAGGCACATCAAAATTACATTACCCAAGATTAAAGAGAAGAAGAGAATCTGAAAAGCTGCAAGAGAAAAGGACACAGTTACCAACCAAGGAGTTCCCATAAGGCTATCAGCTGATTTCTCAAAAGAAACCTTGCAGGCAAAAAAGGGCAGGAAAGAAGTATTCCAAGTCATGAAAGGCAAGGACCTACATCCAAGATTACTCTATCCAGCAAAGCTTTCATTCAGAATGTAAGGGCAGAGAAAGTGCTTCCCAGATAAGTCAAGTTAAAGGAGTTCATCACCACCAAGCAATTATTATATGAAATGTAAAAGAGACTTATCTAAGAAAAAGATAAAAAATATGAACAGTAAAATGACAACAAACTCACAACCATCAACAACTGAACCTAGAAACCAAAGACAAAAACAACATGAACAGGAACAACTAAGCAAACAACTAGAACAGGAACAGGAACTAGAACAGCACAGAAATGGAGATCACATGGACGGTTATCAGCAGGGAAGGGGGTGTGAGGAGTGGGGGAAAAGGTACAGGGAATAAGTACCATAAATGCTAGGTAGAAAAATAGACAGGGAGAGGTTAAGAATAGTATAGCAAAAGTAGAAGCCAAAAAGCTTATATGTACAACCCATGGACATGAACTAAGGAGGAAGGAATGTGGGTGGGAGAGGGTGTGAAGGGCAGAGGGGAATAAAGGGGAGAAAAAAATGGGACAACTATAATAGCATAATCAATAAAATATATTTAAAAAGAAAAAAGAAAATCATTTTACATGAAACGGTATAGTCCCATTCCATTCTTATTTTAAATAGTCACTTTTGAGTTATAAATATAGAAAAAAATCTAAAAATAATTGGCCAATATCTTAGTAGTAGTAGTAACCTCTGAGTTATAAAATTTAAAAGAGATTTTTAAGGTTTTTTTATTATCATGTATTTTACCAGCATGCAGTGCTTTTATAATACAAATAAACATTAGAATTACTTAAATTTTGAAAAAGTTATTAATAGCCAGTGTCAGAGGTTAAATACAAAGAGTAGCAGAACAATCTTTGACCTAATTAATCAAACCTACAAAAAGTTTGGCTATTTGGAGGGTTGGGAGACAGAAGGACAGAGGCTAAGGAAAGGACTGACGCTGACTGACTGGGCGCTGTGGTCCAGACCATCCACAGCAGCTGCTAGGAGCCAAGAGCACAAGTGTGAAGTAACATAACACAGCATTTGGATTTGGCTTCCAGCAGCTGCTAAACAGAAGCTGTTTTTGAAAGACTGTCAAGCCCACCCCACAAATGGCATAAGTAATTTTATAAAAATGTTGAAAAGTAGATCCCTAAATGCCTACAGCTGCCCGGCTGTTAAATACAATGGACATTCAGTGAACTGAATTCCACTCTATCAATTTGGGGGTTGCTGGTGGTTAATATTATGGGCCTTTTGGAGGAGGACATGGCTCGAGGCTGCCAGCTGTCCCCTTAGCAGTTGAGTGGCTTTCCAGCAGTACCTGACCCCTGTTAACCTCAGCACATCTACCTTTAGTTTTCCTCTGCTCTGCTTTCACCACCAGCAGGCCCTCTCCCTCATCCAGTGCTCTCAGAGTCTGAAAGAAAAGACATTTCTCCCTACCAAAATGCTCACTCCCTGTTGTGTGGCACGCAGGCATTCTACATGAAGTTTTAGGCACCAGTTAGTTATGTTCTGCTACAGCAGTTATGTAGGAGGCATTTGCCTAAAGGCACTTTCCTGCAGGTTTCATGGGGCAAGAAACAGAGTGTTCAAAACCAAAGTGACTGGAGCTATTCACAGGTAATGTGAACCTATTAAATTCAGAAGCAGACAAATATTTCTGCCGTGTTATCACATGCTTTAGTAACTCATGAGACTTACACAAGTGTAGCTGATAGAAAAAGAAAGTGTTTATTCAGTCAACAAGAGTGGTTTTCCTTGGGTAAGTGGCTCCTACATGTCTCAGCCTCCTCTCCTACTAATTCGTTCCGAAAGGGTTGGCCAGATGTCACAAGAAATTGGCAAATGTGAACTCCCTCCCTCAGAGATTCTGCCTCCTTTCTTGATCATTCTCACTTAAAAGGCTACTGATTATTTTCATTCTCTTTACTCTCCTAAAAACAACCCTGATTCACTAATTTAGCTGTGCCCAAGACACACTGCTGAGGGGACCCCACTGTCACAGGATCCCATTTCATAAATACTCACTGTCCTCTGTTTCTTGTATAATCCTGAACTTTTACTAACCTCAGATAAGCCAAGCTCAGATGTGGGTATTGCGTCAGAGTTCCTTTCACAAGTATCTTCAGTTTGGGAACAAACATTTGATTAAAATGAATGTTTTCTATTCTCTTCCAAAATGGTAGCACCCTGCGTAGGGATGGGCAAAGCTTCATGTTCTTATTCTTTGGGGATGCATCCAGAAGGTGACAGAAGGGGCTATTTGTTCCCCTTTGGAGCCATTCATACTTTCTGAGTAACATTACACAATAAATATCTTAAGAACAGACTTTCTGGCACAACTTACTTTAGACTTTTCTGATAACAGTCCTCAACAGCTACATATTTATTTTCTTTTAGAACATTTGGGCAAGCAAGGGCCATGAGGCAAAGGTCATGGGTTATTTTCAGAGCCCTTTCTAACATAGTGTTCTTTGTACTGATGGTGAAAAGCACATATTGTTATGCGGGTAAGCAAATTACAAGACTGAAGCTTGGTCTACTAGGGCCAAAGATGTAGCCACTCTGGTGGCAGGCTAAGAAATGTGTGCACTAGGAGCACAGCCTGGGGGCTGATGGAGCATATCTGAAAGGGCTAATGGGATCCTTTCGTATCTCCACAGATGCTGATGCAGAGATTGAAGGAGCCCCTGCCTCTCCCTTGGATGTGGTGGGCTTGGACGCCAACAAAGATTATATCATCATCTCTTGGAAACAGCCAGCTGTGGATGGAGGGAGTCCTATTCTGGGATATTTTATTGATAAGTTAGTACTTAGTCAAACTTCAGTTAGAGTGATGTGGCCATAGAGATGCATGCTTGATTTCTCTACCATTTCTAGGTGAAACATTTTCTTTCCTGGTCTTCTCTCCCTCCTCTGTCTCTTTCTTTCTGTCTCTCTCTCTCTGCCATATATATAAATGTGTGTATATATATGTATGTATGTATAGGTGGATATAGAGAAATATAGATATAGATATACCTAAATTCCAAAAGCACAAGTCACTAATTTGACAAGAAAACTATGAATTTCTAGACCTAGTAGAGACCACTTTGGAAATAACTGGTATTCAACCTATTTAATGCCCATATTCCTAGTATGTCAGCAATTTAAGAATATTACATAAAGAAAAATTCTTTAATTTTGGCCAGGTTACTCTTTTGGCTGGAGCATCATCTCATACATCAAAAGGCTGTGGGTTCAATCCCTGATCAGGGCACATACTTAGGTTGTGGGTTGTATCCCCTGTCTGGGTGTGTATGGGAGGCAACCCATCAACACTTCTATCTCATATCCATAAACATAGCCTTGGATGATGATTAAAAAAATAATAGCAATACTTTACAAATACTAACAAAATCTTATTTACATTTCAGGAAGTGATTTCAAGTTAGAAAAAGAAACAACAAATATCAATATCAATAGGATTAAATAATGTTCTATCTAGTGACAGGCTCTTAGTATTTACATTCTCTGAAATTTAGAGACTATACAAATTATGGTAATTGAGTCTTACACATTAATTATACACTGATTTTAGATGGTGTAAATGAAAATTTTACATTATCAACCTAAATACATTATGGTCTGACTTAGTTTCTATTCAAATAGTTGCTCCAATTCTTTCTATTTTTTGAGTAATAAAATCTGATTGTAGAAACTACTAGGAATAGATCATTTGACTGGTATGGGACAGTGGTATTGTATCAAGGTATATTAAATCTAATATTTATAGCAGTATATAAATTAAATATATGTCTATTGGGTTCAATACCACCTGGAGAAATATTTAAAATAAATTATATACTATTTAATTGTATACTAAATGCTTATACATTATTTTATCTTTTAGTAATGATGAATGTAAAGTTTTATATGTTATTTTTCATCCTTACAATTTCTGCCTTATTGTCTTTTACAAATTTCTAAGGAATTTGCAACCTTTGATCAGTGAAAAACAAGGAACAATGAGTACATTTTGTTTTTCTCTTGACTTAGTCAAAATGAAAATAACCACATTGTGACTAATATTTAATAATCATTTGCCATGTGATTGGCACTGTTCTAAACACTTCTCATATATTGACCATTAACCCATAAGCATCTTTTGAAAGGTAGGTACTGTTATTACAAGTGGGAAATGAGTGGCTGACCCAAGGGCACATGCTAACAAGGAAACACAGGGTCACATAGAGTAATTCTAGCAGAACTAGAATTCAAAGAGCAGCCTGGCTGAAAATTGGTGTTCTTTCTGCTCCACCACGCTGCAGACGGCTCCAGAGCAGTTGTTCTCCGCCTTTCTTTCTGCCCACATGAGGGTCAGGAAGCATGCTGTAGGATCCCTGGGCCACCATGACAGTATCTTCACAGAGGGAGGAGACAGGGCAGTTTGAAGAACTGTCCTAGCCTCCCACACCCCATTTATAAGCTGCTCCATAATTTCTGCAAAGGAAGAGTTAGGAGAGAGTGGATGGAAAGCAAGGATTGAAGCCATATTTGATAGCATTTTACACAAAGTTGAGGAAAATATCTTATCTCAAAGAATGGAAGGGTGAGGGTAAAGAGAAAGATAACCTCTACACACACACTCCCACCACCTTTGCACTGCCAATGGCAATCCCCTCCTTCATGAGCAGCATTTGGAAAGTATACATTTAGGACATAGAACTGTGTTGGGAAAGTGATATAAACTAAAAGTGCAGTACTCTACTCATAAAAAATGATAAGCTACTATATACTGTATACTTCAATCACACGTTGAGCCTCTAAAGGCCTGTTGATTAGTGTCCTACGATAGTGTCCTAACATGATATGAACCCTCATCTCTGTCTCCTGGGATGTGGGTACTCTATCCCCAGCCACCGATGGCTGGAAAAGCACCCAATTAGAAATATGCAGTTTCAAGTGCTTAGACTTCCCCTGCCAGGCCTGGGAATTTCACTGCATCTCCTTAATCTCTCCTGTTAAGAAACAAATGCATTACAGCACCCTCCTCACCATCCTACCACAAAGCATGCAGTGACCATCAAGTGAACTCTCTCCAAACCACAGTGCAGATAAGTATCTTTTAAGGTGTTAGCTTTCTCAACAGGTCCATTTTTAAAAGACAATGCCAAAAGGAGCCACTAATGGTGGATGGTACTGAAGACATCAGCTAAGTGGATGCTTGAGCAATCTTCCCCCTTAGCCTGTTCAATATAAAGATTGTACATACCCACCCGCTTCTGTTTTCCCCCACAAAGCTCCTGTGCTTAGTGCACAAGGCCCCTTAACTGTGTGCTTTCAGTAAGGTCAAAGGACATATATGTGTTTAAGAAGAAGCTGAGCTTCTTTTCTTGTTAGAGAAGACACATACAGTTGAATGGAACTGAGTAGCTGCAGTTAAATAACTATTGAATCGTGCTTGAGCTAGATATTTTGTAGAAAAATCTGAAGCAATTGGGTGGGTATACAGCTTTGGAACTATTAATTTAGCCATACTTCTTTTAATATTCTTACTGACCACTCTCTTTCCCTTAGATGTGAGGTGGGCACAGATAGCTGGTCTCAATGCAATGACACACCTGTGAAGTTTGCTCGTTTCCCAGTCACTGGATTGATAGAAGGTCGTTCTTATATATTCCGAGTCCGAGCTGTAAATAAAACTGGAATAGGTCTACCATCTCGTGTTTCTGAGCCTGTGGCTGCTCTGGACCCAGATGAGAAAGCTAGACTTAAAAGTAAGCATTTTCATTTTCCAGGATCTTCCTGAACCTTTTTTATATAACTATACTAGATCTCATTGCAGTTATTCCTTCCTCTTCCTCTAGAGGGAGAAGAGAATAAGAAATAATCTATTGATCAGAAAATCCTAGGGGAGGGGGGAATGAGAACAGAAAAAGCATTTGTTTTTTGACTCATCTATTTACTAAGGGTTTTATTTTATTTTATTTTATTTTATTTATTTCTATTTGATTCAGACAGGTTTGCTTTTTAAAACTGAGTTCAGGCATTGTGTTTGAAATGAAATATGAAAACCAAGAACCTGGAGAACATTTTTATCCATTTTATTAGCACATTCCAAATATACTTTTCTTTCTGGCTCATATTTTTAAACTGTAAGGTAAATTTTTTAAGTTTGAATTTGGAGTATTAATATCACAGTACAGTGAGTTTCTTTACATCAAAGCAAAAACACATTTACAACATTTTATCTGATCTATACTTGAGTTTCCATATAAACAGTCAAAAATAATCTATTCATATATTTAACCTCCAAGTATCAATGTCAAAACCATAGTACACGAATTATGCTCTGCATTTGTTTCATGAGAAACCATATGGGACCCTCAGTAAAAAGCATCATGAAATGACATTAAAAGAATTGTTGGAAATTAACATTTTACTCTATATCAGATTTCTTAACCTTGGCCCTGTTCACATTTTAGGCCAGATAATTCTATATTAGGGGGGCTATCCTGTGCATCATAGGATGTTAGCAGCATCCCTGGCCTCCACTCCCTAAAGGCCCATAGCACAGCTTCCCCACCTTGTGACTATGAAAATTATCTCTAGATATCCAAATGTCCCTGGGGGCAGGCAAACTCACCCTAGATGATGACTGCTGGTCTGTGCCATATTTGCAGTGCTATTTTTTACTGTAAGTATATGTAGTGGCATCATAAAAATCTAGGTAAATAAGCCACTTTTTCTCTGGAGACTTTTTCTAATCATGCTACTTGATAGCTCTCCAATCACTTTGCACCAAACATCTGACTTCCATCTCTCTTTTCTAATTCCATCTCATATATTCATTTATTCTTTTTCTACAAATTCCAATGAAAATGAGATTTGTTTGAATTGCAGATAAGTTATCTTGTTTATTACCTTTCTGTTTTTTCACAAAGTGTGGTGAAAAGTCCCTTGACCAAAGCACGAACTGAATCATTCTCTATTTCTGATGCCTGTAGGATCACAGGAATGAGGTTTTTTTTTTTTTTAAGTTTATGCTGCCCGTCTCATCCATTTTCCCTACTCAGGATTAAACTGGTTTTCTTTGTAGACAACACTTTCAAATGTAATGGGAAGAAATCGCCTTCTTTGAGCTTTACCACGGGATCAGCACCCCTCTCCTCTTTCATCTTCACAAATAGCTTCTGGGCTTATAATTGTTCCAGAAAGGTTTCTCCCAAATACAGTTATCCCTTAAGCAGGGACAAAAGATCCTACATGTTTCAGGAGAGCCACACGGAACAGTGAATGAGCACAGGTTGTTTACCTCACTCGTGTAAGTACAATTCTAGAAATGTCAGCTCAGTTCAGGCAGCTTCTAGGCTCCAGCAGATTGTGAATTCTTTGAAGACACAATCCCGTGTACATGCTCAGTAAGATTCTTTAGCAAATTACATAAGTCAGCTAAGTAGCAAATCCATTTGTGACCAGTCTGGCCACTTTATCAGTGTGGTTGAAACTGCATTTGTGAATGTTTGTGATTTTTAATTTATCTCTGTTCAGGTCGCCCTTCAGCACCCTGGACTGGACAGATCATTGTCACTGAAGAGGAACCTGGAGGTAAAAGCTACAGTTTCCTCAGATACTATCGCCAATGTTTCGTTATGTGGGTTAGCTTTTGTTATCGATGGTGCAGTGCATGTTACAATGTTTTGGGAAGAACATTCTGGAATAGCTGAAGATCATAGAGTAACATATTATCAGAGAATCACTTTTCCTAAAAAGCTTCAGGGAGGTATATTTGACATACAGTAAACTGCATGTCTGTAAAATATACAGCTTGATAAATTTTATAGCTGTGTTCGCCTATGAAACCATCACCATGATCAAAATAGTGAAAATATCCACTGCCCTTAAAATTTCCCCAGATCCTTTTGTAATCTCCAGGCCATCACAAACCTGCTTCCTCTCACTATAGTCTGCATTGTCCACAATTTTAGATAAGTGGAATCATATTCATTTTTGGTCTGGTTTCCTTCATGCAGCATAATTATTTTGAGATTTATCCATGTTGATGCATGTATCATTTCATTTTGATTTATCCATCCATCACTGAAAGTTTCTATAAAAATCCTTATGAAATGTTTATGTGGTCACGTGTTTTCACTTCTCTTGGATAAATACCTATGAGTTGAATGGATATGTCATACAGTAGGTTTATGTTTAATTTTAAAAGAAAACAGTCAACTATTTTCCAAAATGGTTGTGCCACTTTATATTCTCATCAGTAGTCTTTCTATGAGAATTCCCCAGTTGCTCCACATTGTCACCAGTACTTGGCAAGATTAGTCTTTTCACTTTTAGTCATTCTAGTGGTGTACAGTGCTGTTTTATACCATAGTGGTATTTCGTAGTGGGAGCATAGTGGTTTTAATTGGCCTTTCCCTACTAATGTAGAAATTGATTGCATATTTGTAGATCTATTTCTGCAGTCTCTATTGGTAAATTTTATTTTCTCTTTTATGTAGCTTTTATAAGTGCTGTATTTATTTTTTTAAGCTTCATAGTTTTGAAATCAGGTAATACAAATCCCCTAATCTTCCCCATACCCAAAGTTGTTTTATCTATTCTAACTCTTTATATCTTCATGGAAAATGTGAAACCAGCTTATACATTTCTACAAAAACCTTCTGGAATTTCAATTGAATCTTTTATTTCTTTAATGATTTTCTCTCTATTTGTTCTATCAATTATTGATAGTGATGAAATCTCCAACTAAATGATTTATTTATCATTTTTCTTGTAGTTCTATATGGTTTTGCTTCATGTATTGTGATGTTCTGTTATTAGATGCATAAACATTGTTATTGTTATGTTTTCTTATGGACTGACCACTTTATTGTTATAAAGTGACTCCCTTTATCTATAGTAATGTTCCCCCTGCCTTGGAAATCTACTTTGTTATTAATATAACCTTTCCAGACTTCCTTTGACTGGTTTTAGCATGACATATGATTTTCATTCTTTTACTTTTAACCTATGTGTGTGTTCATATTTAAGTCACGTTTCTTATAGGCATCATAGAGCTGGATCTTGCTTTTTATACAATCTGGTAATCTTACCATTTGTGACAACATAGATGGACCTAGAGTATATTATGCTAAGAGAAAGACAAATATTATGTATTTTACTTATATGTGGAATCTAAAAAGTAAAATAAATGAACAAACAAAGCAGAAATGAACTCATAGATACAGAGAACAAAGTGATGGGTGCCAGATGGGAGGAGGGTTGGGACACTGGATGAAAAGATGAAGGTACTCAGAAGTACAAATTAGCAGTTACAAAATGTCATGGGCATGTACAGTACAACACAGGGAATATTGTCAATAATATAGGGTGGGGCAAAGTAGTTTTACCGTTGTTTATATAAAAATACAATAGTTAATAAATATTAGTACAAGGATAAACTCTGTCTTTCATGTACTCACAGCTGTGGACCTATGTTTGACCCACCCTATATTATAATAATTATGTATAGAGTCAGGTGAGTACTAGACTTATCAGGAAAGCACCTCACAACTTATATAAGTGTCTGAGCACTATGATGTACACCTGAAACTAATATAATACTGTGTGTCAACTATAATTTTTAAAAGTGTAAAAATTTTAATCAATCAATTAATAAATAAATTGCATTAACAAACTATGATTCCAATCCTTTTTTAAGAGATATAAAAAAATAAGTTATGTCATTGCAACTGGTTTTCAGGACTACTGGAGAAATTAAAATTGTCAACAAAGAAAGTAAAATGAATGAATGGCTTTCAGGAAGAATTTTAAAGATAAGGTACTTCTTTATTCTATGAAGCAGCAATTAAGTCTTCCTCCAGGAATAGGGAACCATCTGTGACCCTGAGTATCCTGGGTCTCCCAGAGTGTGTGCTCCTTACTTTTCCTTGTTGTTTTTCAGAGGGTATTGTTCCTGGACCCCCCACAGACCTCTCCATCACTGAGGCCACCCAGAGTTATGTGGTGCTAAGCTGGAAGCCCCCTCGACAACGTGGCCATGAGGGCATTCTGTACTTTGTGGAAAAGGTAAGACTCTTGGATCAGCATTATTCCCTCATACCACTTTCTGAAGCTTTCTTTTAAAGAGCAGAGATTAAATTTTACTGTGTCCTGAACTCTTTAAAACAATATAAACTGTAAACAATCTCCACAGAAAAATGTGTATCACACAGAACTTTGCCAGAAAGTCCAGGGGATTTGTGGACCCCTGAGGGTTGTCTATAGATTTCTAAGGCTCCACAGACCCCAAAGCATGATCCCTTTATGAAGAGAGATGTTCCTGAAGTTGTAGATTTCCTGTAAGACACTGTTTTCAGGAAACCTCTCTGCCTCCCTTGCTCTAGTAATGGCTTTTCTTCTCTCTACGCCTTGTCCTTCTGCAGTAGGGCAGGAACATCAGTGAGGGTAGATGGCTGAGAGGAGGAGAAGTTAAACTACTTTCCAATGGCTAGAGAGCTGAGGACAGAGAGCGCTCACATGCTGCTACACGCTTGGCTAGCACTACTCTGGGTGCAGGTCAAAGGATGGGGTCAGAGGTTAAAAAACAACATAAGATATTGGCTAGTTCTTTCAAGTCTTTTACAAGTATATTGTAATTGTATTATGTTAGAGAGGGCAGCACACAATGAAGGCTTAAAATGAATGAATCATGAGAATTGTATATGAATCTATCATATGCCAATATTTGAGAAGAGTTCTAATAAGTATTTATGCCCAAAAAATGGAGAAGAGCCAATAACTGCATGAGATTACTTGGGGAACTGCCCCAGCTGCAAGTGCAGACACAGAGGAGAACCTGCCAGGCAAGGCACAGGGCCTAGGAGTGGAAGAAGTCCTTGGCTAACAGGATAATTGCTACTAAGAGTGTTTAAAGAGAATTTACCTAAAATGAGGTTTAACTCTTTTATATTGTTGGTGGAAATGTAAATTGGTCCAACCACTAGGGAAAGCAATATGGAGATTCCTCAAAAAATTAAAAATGTATCTACCATATATGTAGCAATTCCACTCCTGGGTATATACCCAAAGGAAATGAAAACAGAATTTAAAGAAGGCCCCAGACCAAGGAATCAGATACTGGCTGTTTTTTACCATAAATCCTAGAGGTAAGGGCATGGACTTCACAAAAAATACCAGAGGTGACTCAATGTTTTCAAAAAATATGTGGCATGAGGGTGGGAGGAGGAGGGAGATGAAACAAAAAACAAAAAACAAAACAAAACAGGATTTTGATAAGATACATACATTCCCATGTCTATCACAGCATTATTTACAATAGCCAAGGTATGGACTCAACCCAAATGCCCATCAGTAGATGAATGAATACAAAAGAAGCGTTACATATACACAATGGAACAACATTCAGTCATGGGAAAGGAGGATATTCTCTCATATGCAACAATGTGGATGGCCCTTCAGCACATTATTGTAAGGAATATAGGTCAGGCAGAGAAAGACAAGTTCTGTATGATATCACTCATATGTGGACTCTAAAAAAAGTAAATTATTACAAAGAGAGAGTAATGTGGTGGTTACCAGGTGAGGGGAAGGGGGCATAAGAGTGACAGTGTTTAAAGATAAAAACTTGTAATGAGTAGTAAGTAAGCCATAGAGATCTAATGTATAGTATGAAGAACACATGAAACCAGAAAAGTCAGCATCTGTGCTGCGTGTCACTCCCAGAACCAATAAGTAGAGATAAGGATTGGCCCTTTATGGGCACTTTATTCAGATGCCAGAAATCTGAAAAGACAGCGGGAGGGGGCAGGTTTATGTACCCTGCAAAACCATCTTAACTTTTCATTTTAACCCAACCTTTTTATAAGGAGAAGAAAGAGTAAGTAAGGAGTTTGGAAAAAAGTTAATTGGATAAGAGTTGCAGTCCAGTGGCAGTTTTCCTCATCCTTCTTTATCTGTTGATCCATAATTTTTATCTGCATCACCTGGGACACAATGGCTCAGATACTGTCTATTTGGCTTTGTGCTCCGACCCCGTGGGGGCCCACAGTTGAACTGCTTGTGGACCTACTGGGGTCTCTGTGGTCATGCATTCCAGGTCCTGGAATAACAGCTTTCCATATGCATTAATCATTTAAGTCTATCAACTAAGGCTAAAATCTTTAACTCTTGAATTCCCCTATCACATAGACAATAATACTGTACTATAGTTATATAATGTGATAAACACTGCTACATTAGCAACTGTATTACAATATACAAGTGTATCCAAGTAACATGCTGTGCACCTTAAACCTATGCAATGTACCAGTCAAATTCATTCAATAGAAATAAATGAGTAAATAGAATAAATTAATTTTAAAATAAGGTTAAAATCAATTTGTTATAAGTTTAGATTAGGATGTAATTGAAAAGAGAAACAAAAATGAGTTTATTTTATCATATATAAGAATATTTATATTTTTACTGGCAGCTCTGTACCATTTTTTTAGAACAACCAATGAAAACGTATTTGTACCTTTTAATATATTTTATTTAGTTTTACAATATAGTGTTATTAACTGTAGTCACCATGCTATACATTAGCTGACTTATTTATTTTATAACTGGAAATTTATATATTTTTGACCCCTTTCACTTACTTTGTTCAACCCTCCACCCATCCCCGCCTAGCCTCTGGAAAGAACAAAGCTATTCTCTGTATCACTAAGTTCAGTTTTTTTGGTCAGGGGAGGAGGTGGTATTAGGGTGTTTTTGTTTGTTTGTTCCCTTATTTTTAGATTCCACATGTAAGTGAGATTATACAGTATTTGTCTTTGAGAGGAAATTTTGTAAAATTGTGCAATAGCTTGACAAGGTATTATTTACTTTACAGTTTACTTTCATAGCAAAATTGTAGAAAAGTTCTCCCTTTTGCAAAAATATTATGAAATTCAATCATAAAAAAGTTCTTTTTATTTTGCAAATTTTTTATGGAGTTCAATTAATTTTCCTAAGAGCCTTTGCTTTTTATCTTAATGCTACTCTGATCATTCAACTTTAGAATTCCAGTTAGGTCACCTGTCCTGACAATTATTATAAGAGAATAGATATAGATATACAGGTATATGCAAATTAGGTAAAATATAAAAATAAAAATAATATGCAACTATCTTTGTGGCCTTTTAATTATTTTGTATCAGTGGTACTTGAGAAAAGTATACTAGGGCTTAAAATGCTACGGTCTGTGGTTTCACTTTATTAATTACTTTTCTTTAATAAGAACACTTAGCTCATGTCTGTCAGGAGGATGCCTCACTTCCTTCTTATCCCTAGCAAGCTGGCAACAATAAATGGATCATCTCTTAAACATGCAATAAGTGTATCTTCCAAGGCAGCCTGATTTTATCAAATTAATATTAATATTTTATATTTTATTAATTCTTACATTTTATAGATATTAACTTCAAATAAAATATAACTTGAGTATTAGTCTCAATTAAAATTTTTTTCTTTATTTTTTTAATGGAAGGCAAGAATAGAACAATAAATGTTCATTTCTGATTGTGTTTAATATGCACCCTGACTGAATCTTTTTGAAGCACTCCACAGGAAGGGAGTTCTGAGTAAGCACTGTGACAGTAATTACCACCTTTCCTGTAATAATGACCTAGTACCAGCCTAGTACTGAGACGTTTTCTTCAGATGAGTCAGCTTTGGCTTCTGTTGAACATTTCCTCTGGTCATGTAAACTCTTAATTTCTCCACAATAGTCTGTAACTACCCTAGACCTAAACACATATGAGTCTGTGGTTAAAAATTTAAGTATTCTTCTCTCAGCATACCTTTTAGTATGGAACAGAAGGGGACATTTTTGAGTATAGCAGGTCCTTGAATAAGTTTCTCTCAACATCATTTCATTATTATAACATTAATCGGGGGGAAAGTTGATTCCTGGCCTGGGACTACTGTCTCTGTAAAGATGGCACATTCTCCCCATTCCTAAGTAGGTTTTCCCCAAGTACTCCAGTTCCTGCCACATCCCAGAGATTCATGTGAGATGAACTGGGGTGTCTGGGTGTCTGAAGTGTCCCAGTCTTGAGTGAGTGAGTGTGAGTGTGAGTGGCCCTGTGATGGGATGGTGTCCTGTCCAGGGTGGGCTCCTGCCTTGTGTCTTAAGCTGCCAGGACAAGGTTGAGTCATCCACAACCCTGAACTGAAGTAAGCAGGTTGGAAAATAATTCTTACTTGTTTTAATTAATCATTCTTATATGTACATTTATTTCAATGCTTAATATTAGATCTTTAGATATGTTTTGGGTCTTTATTTAGCTATTTGGTGGGTTTTGTGTCCAGAAATATGCTGTAGAAATGTAAATCTTGTTTATATCAATTAGCTTATGATAAAATTGGTTTTATTATACATCCTTTCACTTAAAGTGAGTTTCCAAGAACCTATCGCCAACGTTAAGTGAACTGTGCAGCCTGAGGCTTGTACAGGTATGGGTGGCACATTCAAAACATCCAGGATGTTAAGGTGCTGGGGAAGCAGAACATGTCCAGAGACTTGGGCCACGTTCACAGAACGGCCCAAATCATTCTGAGCTAAGTCTCAAATTATTTCTGATGAACCACTTCTAATACATTGACCTTTCAAAGGGAAATATTCATGTACTCTTGTTCTGTGGCAAGTTTCCATCTCCAGAATGTTCATGCCCACAGCAGCGCTGCCTCTTGGGTTATCACCATGCTTGCACTTCTTCAGGGAACTTTCTACCTGGGATTTGCATGCACATAAAGCACTTGCCTGCCATGGCCACAGGATTACAATCTCTAACACCATGTCCATAAGCTCTGACATGGTTGAAACTGAGGGGTTTATTAGCAAGGGAATCAGATGAATCGGTCTCTAGTGCTCCCAGCCTCCCTGTCCTACTGTGGCCTTTTCCTCAGGTGTCTTATGTCTTGAGCTCTTCCTCCCATTCTCCTATCAAACTCTGGTCATGTCAGAGACAAGGACAGCACCACTCGATAGCTCTATTTGTACCAGCAGGAATGTTACCCAGGACCAGGCATTGTTCTAAGTACTATACACGTGTCAACCCACTTAATTTTTATAGTACCCCTAAGAGGGAAACACTTTTATTTTCATCATGCCTATCTACAAAGATGAGGAAATTGAGGCATTCATGGGGTAGTTAGTTTGCCCAAGGTCACACAGCAAGAGGCAAAACTAAGATTTGAACCCAGCAGTCGGACTCAGGTTGATATAGATCCAACTGCTGCTTTTAAACCTCCTGAAAGCCTAAGTCTTCTTCTCGGTAAAACTTTGAATAATCACACAAACTGTCTCCATAACACCTAATCAGAGCATAGTTTAGAGCAGGGGTGTCAAACTCATTTTCCCTGTGGGCCACATCAGCCTTGTGATTGCCTTCAAAGAGCTGAATTTAATTTCAACTCCTTAACAGTTAAGGAGTAGTGACATTTATACAGTCCTAAAATTATTTCAGCCCTTTGAAGGCAACCATGAGGCTGATGTGGCCCCTAGGGAAAATGAGTTTGACACCCCTGGTTTAGAGGAATGAAGAATTACAATGGTGAATAAAGTCCTTAACACAGTGAAAGGCAGCTACCATTTTTGCTTTGAAAGTGTAAGTGATTGATAATTGCTTATGTGTTCCCCAGGGGAGAACATGTCAAAATGAATTAAAGCCATAAACTAAAGGATTAAAAGTCTGGGAGAATTTTATCCCTCTGGATAAATGGTCAGCAGATCAACTGTTTAGGGGGGATTTATCCTCTCTACCATCCCACACATAAATGACATTACCATGAAAGGCACTGCAAGGATTTTAGAGGTTACCTTGTCAAATTTGCTCATTCTACAGATGATAAAACTGAGACCAAGAATCCTTGTATGACTTTCTCAAGATCACATAGCTTGTTGTTAAAGCTTGGACCAGAATCAATGTCCCTGGCTTCTTTTCACCATGTCATATTGCCTTTCATTTCAAGTCAATGAAGATTATGCTGAGTGATGTGCCAGTAAATTTATAGTCACCAAAATGTGTCATCTTCGATGGCTGATCAGTGTATTACAAAGTTTGGATTTCTGGAAAAGTCTGTTAAAACTGCTAAGAAGTTCTGTAGCAATATTGCTTCTACTGATCCTGGGCAGAATTGAAAGTTAGAAGAAGAAGGGAAATGGCTTACTGAAGACTGTTGATAGTTTTCTCACCACATTCTCTGCCAAAGCTCAAACATACACCAAGTTCTTCATTCAAGGGCTACAAAGTCACTCTAGATCATTTAAATTCCAAGAATAGAATCTCTTTATTTTTTCCTATTATTTATTCCAAAACATGGGGAGGAAAAAAGAGTATCTTTATCTTTCACTAACTGTATTCATTCATTTAGAATTCAGAAAAAATTATTCATTTCAGGAAAAAAAAAACAAAAAACCCTGCTGATTATCCACTATGTACCAGATACAGTTCTGGGCTCTGGGGTATAGCAGTGAGCAAGACAGCGTCCTGAGTTTATTTCACTGGAATTTACTTCCCAATGAAGGAGATGACAAATAAATAATTTAATTTCAAATATGATAAGTGTTTTGAAGAAAAAGTAAGCTGGGGTAAGAGATGAAGATTGCTGATAGGGAGACAGAGACCAAGAAGACCTTTCTGAGGAAGTGATATTTGAGCACAGGCCTGAATAACGTTATGAGTCATTAAATGACAGTCAAGTAATACAGTTTATAACAGTGTAATGAAAATTAAGTGTCTAACATAGCATATTAAATTTAATTACCTGCTCCAAGAATTAGGAAACTATCTGATCCCAAACTATTTTCTAAATAAAGAACCTTTGTAAGTAGGTCAATAATGTTACTTAGTTAATAGTGCAAATGAAGTATTAAAAGTAGCATATTTGTCAAAAAATACAAAGCTGTACTTGATTTACCTAATGCTGTGAACTTCAGATCCTCCAAATCCCCCACAGCCCCCATCTAAGGCAAATAACGGGATATAGTTTGTTGACAGATAAATAACACTAGGAGATGGCCTGCCTAGAGTTCCCATTTATTCCTGCCATGTTTTCAATGGATTTCACTGTCTGCCTGCAGTGTGACGTAGAAACAGAAAACTGGCAGCGGGTGAACACAGAACTCCCCGTGAAGTCTCCCCGCTTTGCGCTGTTCGACTTGGTTGAGGGGAAATCCTATCGTTTCCGCGTCCGCTGTTCTAATTCAGCAGGAGTTGGGGAGCCATCCGAGGCAACGGAAGTGACTGTGGTTGGGGACAAACTTGGTATGTGTAGAGTCTGGTTGAACAACTGTAAACTTATTTTATATCAAGCCAAGAGAAAATTTTTAAGCAAGAATAAATTTAAAGAATTATTATTATGAATTATCAAATTATGAAAGTAAATCAGGAGTTTTAACAGTATTGCTAATGTAGTTTTTTGTGGAGTGGGTTGGTGTGTTCCTGAGTATTTTAATTTATCACTATTCTCCCAATCTAATATATTTATTAGTTTTAACAAATACATTATAAAATAAAACAACTGTATGTTTGATACAATTACTTGAATAAAATTTATGTGTGTGCATATGTGTTAAGAATGAATTTTCTAAAATCACCCTGAGTTGAACATCATTTTCCTCTTTCCTCAGATATCCCCAAGGCCCCAGGCAACATTATTCCAAGCAGAAATACAGACACATCAGTGGTAGTTACATGGGAGGAATCCAAAGATGCTAAAGAGCTGGTTGGCTACTACATAGAGTCTAGCGTTGTTGGCTCTGGCAAATGGGAACCCTGCAACAACAACCCGGTGAAGGGCTCACGGTAACTGTGCTCTGTGTGTGGTGGTTGTGGATGGGGCAGGGAGAACGTCTGACTCTAGAGACACAGAGGCTGCAAAGAGGAAACACAGCCATGGACCCATAGAGCAGCACAGACAAACAATGGAAGGAGATTTTTTTAAAAAACATTGAACTTTAAATATCCAAATCAATTTAACATTGAACACATCTACTGCAATACATTTCGAAAAAAGGCTTACTTGTTATATTAAACACTTAGAAATACTTAATGCCAACTGTGATAAGAGTTCATTTTATAGCTCTTTTCCAGTTCTTTTCCCTCTATTCTGACCTTTCATACCCCAAATCATACTAAATTCCAAAGATTTAATAGGCTCGAGCTAATACAATTGACCCAGGCATTTTAAATGAACAGAAAAAAAGTATCAACATTTTACCAACTCTGAACATCAGCATGGTTACACTGAAGAGGCATAAATAACACCAAACCGAGGACACTAAGAATATTTTGCCATTTCTTTCCTTCTAATATGAGGATGGTTATTTTTCTTGCTTTCAAATGTTTTATCAACCAGCTTTGCAAGCTGATGATAAATTCTGGCCTGCACCCAAAATCTGGACCTCCTCTGATGTAGGACCAGCCTGAGAGAATTCTACCCTCAAAACTGTCAAGCAGGCGTGTGAGGCAGCACCTTCTTTGACCACTTCTAAGTCAAAGGACACCTTTTCTAGAGCATTAGAGAATAGAGACAAACCAATTAATGAGAGAAGGCAATGTGTTTTACAAAAGATTCATTTAGCTTGTTTGCTCATTTCACTTTCACTCTGAGTTTCCAACATTTTCCTGGAACAGTTTAGAAACATTCACAGAGGGCAGGCAAAGTCCACCTTTCCACAAACGGATGGGAGCTTCTCGACGGTGGGCCCCATGTTTTGCTCACCACTGTGTCCACGATGCCTGGCTTGGTGTCTGCAGCTCTGAAGTGCTCAATAAGTATTCGCTGCACTGAGTTGACATGAGGGTGGGCCTAAATTCAGGATGAATCTAGATTATGGCTGTCTTTATTAAATATGTTCATATTAATAGCAATAGAGTCATTAGCAAATCTGTCATTTCCTCTGGTTACAGTCCTTAGAATGGATTAAAATGTTACAGTGATTCATTAAACAGCTTTTTATAACCATAATGGCTATTAAAGAGTGAGGCCATTTTGTGTAAAACCGCCTGTGAATTCACACCTTGTTATTGGATCTTTTTATCTAAATAGTAATTCTGGAGTCGATTTTCACCTCTTTTCAAATTCTAGTGTAATTTCCCAATTACTTCCTTGGAGTGCAGGAAGGCAGTGACTAGGCCTCTATGACAAGGAGCAGCCTCTGCCTATGGCTATCAGTACACACCTGAAATAGCCATTAATAGTGTTATTAGTACCACCTATTATTCAGTGTCTCCTATATTCAGGTCTTCTAATAGGTACTTTAAATGCCTTATGGGCCATTTTTACATGAAAGTTATTAGGTAGGCATAATTATCTCCATCTTATTGATGAGCACAGAGAGGCTCAGAAGGGTTAAGGAACTTAGGGGGAAGCAGGACTCCTCACTGTTTGACAGAGTGAGTTTAAAAAATTGCTCGAGCTGCCTACTTGTCTAAAACACAAATGTTGCCTGTAACTTTCTACATCTTTTCCTTCCTTTTAAAAAAAAGACTCATTTTCATAAAGCCCAATGATTCAGTTAAGCTAACAATCATCTTCTCTAATTTTCCTCCTAAGGAAGCTTTTAAAAATTTTCTTCCCTTTCAGATTTACGTGCCATGGATTGGCGACTGGTCAAAGTTATGTTTTCCGGGTCAGAGCAGTTAATGCAGCTGGACTTAGTGAATATTCACAAGATTCAGAAGCAATTGAAGTAAAAGCTGCAATTGGTAAGTTCCTTATACATAATTTTGTAAGGAAAAAATGAATGTTTCTAAGTTATAAAGGAAATACCATTCTCTCCAGAAATTGTTTAAAGCTGCTAATGTCACTCATTGATTCCATCCTCAAGTGATCATTTTTTCTGGCTCCAGGTGACACCTAACCTTCCATAGCTATCATTTTACAGATCTTCATCACTTACCTAGATTCTGTGAATCTGTAGCCTTTTCATCTTCACAAGTCCAAGTTTCCTCAGATATTTCCCATTGTGTGAAACTCCATTCTAACTTCGTGCTCATCACGGGAATGTAAAGAGCCATCCAATTCCATGAAGTGGTATATCACCCGTATCATTGATCATTTTGTACCTAAAAGCCATTTCATCTGCAACAGAACCTTGCTTGTTTTCACTAACAGCACATTAACATGCTTTATATAAACATCTTTAAAATTTCTGCAAAAACATATGTGCTTGCTTAATCGTGTTTCATCTCTGTGTGCAAATAACCAATAGAATAAAACCAGTAATAAAGTAATTATATGTATGTACATGATGTACCTCCCAATCTTAGATGACATGAGGAAGGGACTCAGGAAGTTCAGAACAATCAAAATGAAATCTGTCATATCATATGTAAAGAAAAAGATTATTAAATATTTATTGTCTTCAATTAGCTTCCTATATTACTTTCTGGATTTTTTTATCCTCATCCAAGGGTATGCTTCTCAATTTTAGAGAGCAGAGAAGGGAGAGAGAGAGAGATGGACAGAAACATTGAAGCAAGAAACACTGATGGGCCCTGGCTGGCGTAGCTCAGTGGATTGAGCGCGGGCTGCGAACCAAAGTGTCGCAGGTTCGATTCCCAGTCAGGGTACATGCCTGGGTTGCAGGCCACGGCCCCCAGCAACCGCACATTGATGTCTCTCTCTCTCTCTTTCTCCCTCCCTTCCCTCTCTAAAAATAAATACATAAAATCTAAAAAAAAAAAAAAAAGAAACACTGATGGGCTGTCTCCCGTACCCATCCCACCTGGGGGCTGAGCCCACAACCAGGTGTGCGCCCTGACTGGTAATTGAACCTGTGGCCTTTCAGTTTACAGGTGATGCTCCCACTAACTGAGCCACACTGGCCAGGGCCCATATTACTTTTTAACATTTATTTTTCTGGCGGGGCACTAGCAAACATGGAGACAGCTATAAAGTATTCTTTGCTACTTGAATAATATTCCAACATCAGGTTAAAGATAATGAGACATAGGTTCTATACACTAAGAACCTATGTAGTTATAAGGTCTCACCAGGGTACCTGTGCCTGAAAGGTTAAACGCTAACTCTTTGGAAATACATGGAAATTCTCAATAAGTGAGTTGAGGCAGAAATTGATGCACACATTCCATTTTCCTCAAGGATCAAATAAAAACAAAATGATATAAAAAACCAAAAATGTATACCCTAGGGAAAATATTTTTTATGATATAGACAATAGTGAACACATTACTTTGAGATTGGGAAGTACACACCATTGATATTTCAATAATGTTGCATAATTGTTTATGAAATCGGGATCCTTGATGTTATGTGTCTTGTGTATTTCATGGTCCTTTCCCACTGCCCCCATTCTGTGGAATAATGGGGCTTATATCTTTCAAGAAATGTCTGAGATTTGCTTTCTCTTGTGTACACTTGAGTTCTGTGAATCAAAATAGTTCCTGTTCTATGTGTAGTTTTATGTTCCCAATTCTTCTTTTTCCAGAATATGGAGAAGTTGAGATATTTCCCTGGTGCAAATTATGTGAAACAAATGCTCTCCATATTTCTTGCAAATCCAAGTGATTTCTATTAAACCAAGATTGTTTTTGTTCTGTCTGTGGTCCTATGTTTTTCTCTTTGTTCTTTTACATAAGAGTATATACATTATGTCTGGGCTTAAAGTTTCTGTTGTTATCTGGTGATTGTAGGGGGAGGAGTGTCTCCAGATGTGTGGCCTGAACTGAGTGATGCACCTGCTGGACTAACAGACTCCAGGGGAGGCATGCATGAAACCTCCCAGCCAGCCTTTAAGAAAGATGCTTTACTTGGTAGCAAACTTAGCAAACCTTCACTACCCAGTAGCTCTCACAACCTGGGCCAAACAGAAGTGAGTAAAGTAAGTGAAACAGTTCAGGAAGAGCTTGCCCCATCACCAAAGAAAGCAGCTCTTAAGGGGAAAAGTAAGTCTGACACCCCGAAAAAGAAGAAGGACAGAGGTGAGAGTTCAAAGAGTAAAACTGTTCCATCTGTCTCCATCAGCGTCCTCACCTCTCATTGTCCAGATCACTCTCTTCCATCTGTGTTCACTTTCATCAATGTTTATTCTTCATTTTATGTTTTCAACTATTTATTTGCAGTACTTTTATAAACTTACATGGGTTTGGTTTTTATACATAATTCATTGTGATTGGTGATAATAGCATATTTAAAGTAATTTGGTTATAGAGTCCTTTTAGATTTCTGAGGCAGATACACCTCTGGCCTCATCTTGCAAAGAGAGAGCAGGAAGGATTTGATCCTCATAGCTCATGTGAGGATCTTGGCAATGTTCATATTTAGTACATGTACAGGAAAAATATTTCACAAAGAAATGACATTTTATCAGGATCATAGTTATTAACTTTTGCTGTTCATCCTCCCATTTTCAAGTTACCCTTCACATTTAACTAAAATAATTAAAAAGAACAGTATCCTCTCAGTTTCCATAAAAAGTTTAACAGGGTATTATAGTCACATATGGCTACATCCTGTGACATATTATCCACATCCTCACTGCTGATTTAAGACTATTTATCAGAAGTTAAGAATTTTCTGAATAAGATATTTGGTACTTGTGACATGTATTTTAGGAGACAATGTATTTTATCAAAGAAAATGAAATAATAAGCATATTATGATAAATTAAAACTTGCTTCTCATCTATCTCCTATTTCTATCTACCTCCAACTTCTGTCACAGCTTCTATTTTTTTGTCTCTTCAATTTAGCGTAAGATAGGATATTCTTGTTCAAAATTGCTCTGAAATAAGGAAAAAGAGAGAGAGAGAGAGCATTTTTTTAAAAAATGTAAGGAATGAAGGAGGTTGGGAGTAGGTAGAGAGAAAAAATATATTTTATTTCTAAAATAGTTACTGTTCTGAGAATCTTTTTGAATAGTAATGAGATAGTATCTTTATCTTCAATAATCCAAATAAATATTTTAAAAAGTTTTAATGTTATTGTATATCTAGCTAGATTTCTTTTCACCACCCCACCCTCTCTTTATCAAAAGCTAATAATTTCAGTAGTTCAGTGAAAAGTTGATCAGCAAAGCCACACAGATGAAGGAAGATTTTTAAAACATCTTCCAAATATTTTCCTGCCTAGTCACTAACAAACACAGGGACAGCGGTATAGTGTTTTGTGCTATATGAATAATATTCCCACATCAGGCTGAAGGTAATGAGACAAAAATTGCTATATACTAGGAACCTGTATAGTTATAAGGCCTCACCAGGGTACCTGTGCCTGAAAGGTTAAATGCTAACTCTTTGGAAATTCATGGAAATTCTCAGTAAGTGAGTTGAGGCAGAAATTGATGCACACATTCCATTTTCCTCAAGGGTCAAATAAAAACAAAATGACAAAATGAAACAAAAATTTATACCTTGGGGAAAATACTCCTTTTTAAGGGGAACAGAATCATTTCACAGGATATTGGACTATTTTGCTTTCAGTATTTTAAAACTTATTTCTCTCTTGGGTTGGGGGTAGGTTCTTTTTGTCTTTAGAGTAACAATTGCAGTGTACTTTTTGCCACATGTCAATTTTTTCCCCATATGCCAAGTCAGATGCCAAGTTAGTGATCAGTGTCACGTTTTAGTTTTATACCACAAGTGCCCCTCAGTGCCCGGATGCATGGCACCAGTGAAACAAGTGTGTACAGAGAATCACAGATGCATTTCTGTCTACTCACAACTGTTCATGTTGCAACAGCGGCACCATCTGCACCCTATGATATCACTTGTCTTGAAAGTTTTCGTGACTCCATGGTTCTTGGATGGAAGCAACCAGATAAGAGTGGCGGGGCTGAAATTACTGGCTATTATGTGAACTATCGTGAGGTAATTGATGGGGTACCAGGACGATGGAGAGAAGCCAACATCAAAGCTGTCAATGAGGAGGCATATAAGGTAAGCATGTGACTTCTGTAGTGTGGAATGCCACATAAAAGATGACATACATGCACACATATACACATGCATGCACATGCCCAGAACCTTGTAATGATTCATGTCATTTTTCCAGTGTCTGTTGCCTGCAATCACATGACTTTTGTAAAGAATGTATGAAGATAAATAGAAGTAGTTTTGCTGACCAGGGAGCATGTATATTTTCTGGTTCATACACATAAACATAATTTCTTAGAATGTTTACTATGAAATGTATACTTACTGTGAAAACTAATATTTCTTACAAAAATTAACTCACAAAATTTCTGTAACAAATATGCCACTAGTTTCAAGAGCCTCAGAATCCAAATGACCCTGGATTTTTTAACTTTCAGTGTCCAAATTACAAAGAATAAAGGGAAATGGGCTTCCTGGCCAGACTCAGCTTACCACCTGTGAAGTGTCCCTCATTACAGTGGTTCTGAGGGCCACAAAGTGGGCTTCCTGTCTCAGCCCACCTCAGAGCACAGCCCCTGCGGGGTCTCACAGTGCCGCCATTCCATAACACACACAGAACCCTAGGCCTGCAAGAGCAGGGCCAGGCCTTGGGAACCATGCTTTCCACAACTCAAAGCTACACTCCTTTAACTTAACATTTAAAATTTACGATCACACACGTACTGAGAATACATAAAACAAAATCGTATTTCGAAGATCCTTCCATGTTGGTGTGCATACCTATGACTTCATTCCTGTGTGGTACTAGTTATATGACCATCTCACAATATACTTTACCATTCAATTATTAACTGGCATTTGGGCATTTTTGCATTTTTGGTTATATTAAATATTGCAGCTATGAATATTTTTGTACAGGCATACTTCAATTTGTTGTGCCACTTTATTGTACTTCACAGATACTGTGTTTTTTTACATATTGAAGGGAAGACCCTCCACCAGCAAAATGATTATAACTTGCTTTATTGCAGTATTTGCTTTATTGCAGTGGTCTCAAACCCAACCCCCAGTATCTCAGAGGCGTGCCTCTTGACCCTTATATAAACTAGTGTCTTAGGTTAGTAGCTAAAAGTAGAATTGCTGGGGCAGAGAGTCTTCTTTATCTTCAACTTTACTAGATCATTCTCTGCTGTTTTTCTAGAATACAAGAATTACCACTGTTTTTCATCCTTCCAGCACTTGGTATATTTACACATTTTCAACACGGTTTTGACAATCTGGATGTCAAATGAGTGTGAACGTCTTTTCTTCTGTATTTAGTGCATTTCGAAATCTTCTTTTCTAACATGGCTGTTCAAGGCTTTTGCCCATTTTCCTAACAAGCTTTGTGGTAGACTTGTGAAGTTCTTTTTATATTTTGAGTATAAATTCTTGTTAGTTAGGTAAGTAGGTATATCTTCTTTCACTCAGTGGCTAGTCTTTTCCTTTCCTTATGATAAACTACACTAATTTTAATATCAAATTTATTGTAGTCAGCCCTGGCTTGGTGGCTCCTCTGGCTGGAGCATTGTCCCATACACCAAAAGGCTGTAGGCTTGATTCCTTGTCAGTACACATATATAGGTTGTGGCTTTGACCCCTAGCCAGGGACATGTACAGACGGCAACCGATTGATGTTTCTCTTTCTCTCTCTGTCTCCCTTCCTCTCTCTTTAAGATCAATAAAAACATATCCTCAGGTGTGGATTAAAAAAATTTATTGTAGTCAGGTTGACCAACATTTGCTTTGTCATTAATGATTTCTGTGCCTTTTCTTTCTTTCTTTTTTTTTTTTTAAGAAATGCCTTTTAGTTCAGGGATCCTGAAAGTCCTGGTCCTAGCTTTGTGACTGGGGCCAATTACTTAACTTCAAGGTATCATCTTCCTCCTCTGTGAGATGATCTCATATGTCCTTATATCTTGAAAATAATATCATTATAAAAGAAAGACAGAAAGAAGGAATGGAGGAAGGAAGGCAGGAAAGAAGGAAGGAAGGAAGGAAGGGAGGAAGGAAGGTAGACAAAGGGGAAAGGCCTTCTCTTTTCCAGGGTCATAGAGACATTGTACTAGATTATATTCTAAAAGCTTTACAGCTTGCCATTTAAATCAGTAATTCACCTATAAACGTTGTGTAGGATGTGAAGTAAGGATAAAAATTCATTTTCCCACCTATGTGGATATTCAGTTGTCCCAGCATCATATATTGAAGTTTGTCCTTTCTCAAAATTCTGCTAGGCTATCTGTTTCATATATCAAGTTTCCTTATATGTATGTGTCTGTTTCTCTATTTTGTCCCACTCATTCCAATGACTATTCTGTTCCATTGGTCTATTTTTCTACCACTAGCCCAGTATTATATTCACTTAATTATTTTAGCTTTACTATAGATTTGATAACTGGCAGATCAAGTCCTACCTGCTTATTTTTCCTCAACTAGGGTTAGCCTTAGCCCTTTACACTTTGATATAAAGTGCAGAATTAGGTTACCAAATTTTACCAAAAAGAAAAAGAGACAAGCAAAAGGAAACACAATAAACAAAGTTAAAAATGAAAATGTATTAGAATTCTGATTGTGAATACACTGAATCTATAAATAAATTGAGGAATAACTGACATCTTTAAAATAGTGAGTCTTCTAACTTATGAACACATTTCCCTCCATTCATTTTGGTCTTCCTTAAAGTCTCAATAAAGTTTTATAATTCTCTACAGAAGCCTTGCTCATTATTTTTTATTTATCTATAGATACCATGTATTTTCAATGTTATCTTAAATGGTATATCATTTTGTTGCTAGATTAGAGAAGTATAACTAATTTTTATAAATTGATTTTGCATATCACTGTACCAACTTTTCAGTTTGGGACTCACCCAGCTTTGACACAAAATGTCCTATGTCCTTGGGACCCTGTACTCCCAGGAACACTGGTATGGTTGGTCACAGTAACTGGGCCCCAAAGCAACCCTTGAACCTCTAAATACTTTTAGATTCAAGTTTTCTATAGCATGGTTTTCCCATAATTCAAAACAATTTTTCTTCTTAAAGGGAGTGTGTGTGTGTTTGTATTTAACCAAAAAGAATGTTTATGTCATTCTGTTACTATAATATATAGCCATTATATTCTACTTGTACTCTAACTAACTGATAAGACAAGCACACTTGTGGGTGACCTTATGACTTCATAAGCAAATGGGATATAGACTGGCTCATAGATACATATTTGTCTTGGCTTAAATAATGCAATAGGTAAGCTTTGTTAACTCAGCTATTTCCATCAGTACCTCCATTTATTAAGCTTTTTTAATGTTTAAAGGATTGTTTATAGTCCATGGGTTTTTCACACTAACACATTCCATCATTTCTATTTTGCAGGTATGTTCACATTTATTATTTTATTACCTACATTTACTCTCACGACAACCCAATTCCTACTGAGAAGTATAGAAAACATTAGGTCATTAATTAAAGAGCAGAAACATTACAAGAATTTGAATTTTTTGATATCTAGCCTAGAATTCATTTCATTTTTATCTGTACATGCATTAGTTTTCTACTGCTGCATAACAAATTACCATAAACCTTGTGGCTTCAAATAACCCTTGTTTGTTATATCACAATTTCCACAAGTCAGGAATTTAGGCACATCTTAGCTGGGTCCTCTGCTCAGGGTTTCACAAGGCTGCAATCTAGGAGTCAGCAGGGCTGCATTCTCCTCTTGAGCTCCAACCCCAAGCTCATCCAGGTTGCTGGCAGGACTGAGTTCCTTTCCACTGTGGTCCTGAAGCTGCCCTTCTCCCAGTGCAAGGGGTTAAGCAATTCCCAAAACGGTTTGCTTCTTCAAGGCCATTGAGATAGTTTTTCTTCAGGAAGTTTCCAGACCCTATTTTAGGAGTTTCTATCTGATGAAGTCAGTCCTTTTGAAAAATTCATTATTTTTCCCATGTGTTTCTCCTTTATTTTTACCCTGCTATCACTCACAACACTTCGCTCACAACAGGTGGGTGTCCTACATTTAACTCTATTCTGACACTATCTACCCAGAGGTAGAATCAGATCCCACAGGTTAAGGGTTTGATCCCACAAGAGTGCCCCTTTCCCCATTCAAGATGCCAGGGCTGAGTCCAGGTTGTTACTTACTAGACTAACAGGGTTGTGTTGTGTTGTGTTGTGTTGTGTTGTTTGTTTGTTTGTTTGTTTTTACACAAGAATATAGCTCAGGAACAGCCAGATGGAAAAGATGCATAGGGTAAGGTATATGGAATGGGGCAAAGAGCTTTCAAGCTTTCTCCAGAGTGCCAGTCTCCCAGCACCAACCTGGAAGCTCGCTGAACCCTTTTTGGGTTTTTTATGGATACTTCATTACATAGGCAGGAGTGAAGAAATCATTGGCTAAACTCACTCTGGCCCCTCCCCTTTCCCCACCCTCCCCAAGCCACCACAGGAAGATCGCAGTGGTGCTGCTGAAAATTCCAACTCTCTAATCATGTTTGGTTTCCCTAGCAACCAGCCCAGATACTTAGACTACCTAGGGGCTTCCCCAAAGTCACTTTGTTAATATAACAAAAGAACTTTTATGCTTGTGTCACTTAGTAAAATACCAAAAGTTTTAGCAGGTCTGTGCTAGGAATGGTGACAAAGACCAAACATATAATTTTATTATTAATTACAATATTGTAGTCAGGCCCACCAAGGATAATCTAGCTCCCTTTGACTAACTCAAATAACTAATTAGGGACCTTAATCATTGGGTTGGCCAAAAAGTTCATTTGGTATTTTCCATAAGATGGCTCCAGTAGCCCTTAGTTATCTTTAACTTCATTCAAAACAATTTTGTTAGATTGTATCATGACAGCTGTCATATCAACGTGCATTTAAAAAACCTTGTGAAAATTGGTGATTTTTTGTAGCCATTTTAATATTGAAGATGGAAGAAAATATGCAATGTTTTTTCACATAATATGCTTTATTTCAAGAAAGGTAAAAATGCAACTGAAATGTAAAAAAAATGCAAATGTTAGTGCAGTGGATGAAGAAGGTGATGTGTGAATGTGTCAAAAGTGGTTTGCAAAGTTTTTTGCTGGATGATGCTCCATGGTCAGGTTGACCAGCTGAAGTTGATAAGTAATCAAATCAAGACATTGATTAAGAACAATCAACATTATACCACATGGGAGATAGCTGACATACTGAAAATATCCAAATCGATAGTTATTGGTGAAAATGAAAAATGTGTCTTTGATTTTACAAAAAACACATATGGACTTTTTGGCCAACTCAATACATCTGAAATACACTTCCTCCTTTGCTATATGATGTAACATAACCTCAGGACTGATATTTCAATACCCTTGCCATATTCTATTGGCCAGAAGCAGGTCACATATTTCACCCACACTCAGGAAGAGGAGATTAATGACAGAAAGATATGACTCACTGCGGGTCATTCTAGAGTGTGTCTTACACAGGAGGCAAATAAATAAAATGGTGAACAATTAGAAAAAACAAACCCGAAACATTCACTCTCTGGGATGTTCATGTTGCAGATTAGCAACCTGAAGGAAAACACAGTGTATCAGTTCCAAGTGGCAGCCATGAACATCGCTGGGTTGGGAGCGCCCTCGGCAGTGAGCGAGTGCTTCAAATGTGAAGAATGGACCATTGCTGTTCCAGGTAAACCGTGAAGAACCGTGTCTCAGCACTGACACTCAGGTTTCCTCCAATAGAACCTGCAGCTTGGAGCTGAGTTTGAGTGCTATATAGACAAGTTCTAAGGGAAATGAATTATCTTGGTCCTTCATATTTATGTAAAATATTTTTACAATGCTATTAAATAATAGGCACCAATATAAAACTGAGTACAGATTTCTTATGCTTGTATTTCAAATAAATCCTACAGGCCCCCTGCTCAGCCTCTGCACAGAGGAGGGTTGACAGAAGCAATGCAATTTGAGTGCCGATGATCATTTAAAAGGAATTCCAGTTGTTGCTTGTGCTTCTTAAAGGCCGTTAAAGGGAATCCAATTCATATGACACAGCAAAATTTCTCAAAAACTTCTTCTGTATTCTTAGTTCTCATGCATTCCCCCACTGTTCAGGAGCCTCTCATTTGTCAACCAAAATCTCTCTTTCCGGAATCAGGCACTGTGAACTTAGCATGCCTGTCTAAGACTTAAGTCTCCACTTACCTCTTTCTACTTACTTCTCCAGGCATCCATCTCTCTCTCTCCCTCCCCACCCACCGCCCCCCCCACTCCACTTTTTCCCAACTCTGTAACACAATAAAGATCCTGGAACCAGACTGGAAATACTGTCCTTTGGCTGGGGCTGGGAAGAAGAAGATGGGAGAAGGCAAAAACATTTATTTACCTATGCTTTTAACTCTCACATAGCTTCAGCACTGAACAAATTTAAAAATTGAATACAAACAAACTTACTAAACTTTTAAGATTCAGAGTTGCAACATTAATGTATTTGGTGGATGGTTTTCTTTTGCTTTAAATGGTACTAACTTCAGAGACCCAAATGCTTTAGTGCCACAGGATAACTAAATACTCCCACCTGGGGTTAATATTCAACATGCATAGCAACTGTTATGACACCAGCATCAACCACCTTAGGACACCAGGCCACACTGGGCATACCGGGTGGGCCCAGCCCTGCCCCAGTGCCACCCACCTCCTCTATTTGAAAACTAGTGCTCTTGGAGAACCATCATTTGGCCTTTAATTAGTGAATATCTACCTGCATCACTTCTCCATCCAGTGTGAATAAAATAATTACAAGATAAACTTAAAAGAAGTTGAAGTGTTTATTCAACTTCAGTAAATACAAGAGACAAATACATGCCTTTCTTTGCACCTCCTTGAATCCAGCTGATACTTGTTAAGTTCTTTGTCACCTACACAAAAGCGGATTTGTTTTTAAATTCTTGCAATTCCCGAATAGAGTTAAAATGGGAGTGCCTGGAGACTAAGAAATTGCGCAGACCTGTGGAAACTGTTTTGATGAAAAGATACAGTTTGCAAAAGAAGTTGCAGGATGAGAGCTCTGAATTCAGAGGAGAAGTGAAGGGGACAGTCCTCTAGGCCATGACGTCTCGTTTCTCAGATCCACCCTGGACTCACTGAGTGGTGTGGGGCAAGCCATAACTCAAGGAAGCTCTTACAGAAGAGAGCATTAAGAATGTTTTGTCATTCCTTTGTTTTACAGATGAAGAGACTAAGACTTGGGTTAAATGATACTCAGAAGGTCACTCAGGTAGAAAGTGGCAGTTAAGATTGGAAACTAAGCCTTCTTATTCCTAGACAAGAGGGACTAGGAAGCAGCATAATCATGTTCCTTCTCGTTGAGCAGAGGTGGTGTTAACCTGTCTGGCTGCCTCACTAGGTTCTGAGGATGACACAAGAAAATAGTCATAGAAGCCCTTTGCAAAACAGAACATGTCACATCTGGCATAAACTATTGGTGCTATTATTCAAACCTATTTCCACACAAGGTGTCATCGGAGGACAAGGATGACACATATTTGTGACTCTTAAGCCAAGGTAAAATGCCCAACAAATATTAAACTACCAATTGCAAAGCAAAGCAAAGCAAAGCACATAGCAGTCTGTACTTACAGTTGGCCCTCAGGCCACTATGAGTCAGATCAGGTCATTTTGATTGGCTGGTTAGAAATCAGTCGTTAATTTTTTTTAAGGAAAATAAATAAATGTATCACCTGCATAGCAGCTGGTGGTCATGCAAAGATAAATTACTTAGTAGTTTGGACTCTCCCAAGAGTACAAAGAACATACATGCAGGGAGAACATTCCAGCTTTTTTCCTTAACAGGCTGATCTAGTTACTTGGCTTCTCTGAGCTTTCTGTTAATTGTCTTAAGAATAAATGAGATAAATGAATGCAAACTACCTAGCAGTGTTTGGCACAGATTCAGAGCCCACAGGATTGAAAGTTCTTTGTAAACCATAAACCATAACTGTAGTTTCTTTTTACCCCTATGTACGATTATATGCTTTACAGGAAAAATTTCCTTCCAGTGGAGAGTTATTTTACAATATGTTCTTTTTTACTTTGTAAGAAATATTACTATCATATGCCATAAAATAGAGTTGCTTTCTTCATGCTAATTTGAGACTTGGGAGAATTTTCAGATTATTATCCAAAAGGAACCTGAAACTGAATCTTCAACCAAACTAAACTGTTCTGATAAAAGATGAGGAGCACAGGCCCGAGGACACCCTGAAGGAAACTTTCACCCAGTCTCTGAGGAGTGTCGTGAACAGACCTTCCACCTGCTGCCCATAAGGGTCTTAGTGGGTTGGTGTAGAGCTGTTGAGGAAACTTGATATGAAATGACTACAAAATACCTACTTCCATGGAAATGGTAGATTAAAAAAAAAAAGAACACCACCATGAGATTCAGCTGTAAAACCTTAAATGTGGTTCTAGATTTACACATATTTGAGTTATTTTAATCTACATTATGATTTTCATGCACTGGTCTCTCTGTCTTTCCCAGGACCACCGCACAGTCTCAAGTACAGCGAAGTCAGGAAAACTTCCCTGGTTCTGCAGTGGAAGCCTCCCATCCACTCTGGACGGACTCCCGTCACTGGTTACTTTGTGGACATGAAGGAGGCCAAGGCCAGAGATGACCAATGGCGAGGACTCAATGAGGCGGCTATTAAAAATAAATACCTAAGGGTAAGGGGATGCTCATAGTTCGAGAAACCTATTTAAAAAGAAAAAAGGCTCTTCTAATGGTACCAACTTTAAGTTAGCAAGGCAAAACAACATCTCTGCTTCCATCTGGGTCATACATAGGGCTCTTGGTAAGATTTCATTTGGCAGTGGTTAGGGTTTGGGGACATTTCTGATACTTAAAACAATTTGGTTATGTTTAACCTGAATTCCTAGTCTAACTTTGGAAAATATCTACAAGTTCCCTTCTATCTTGTCTTTCCCTTCTGTCCTTCACTTACCTACTTCATGTTTTTGTTACTCACAGCCTTATGACATTTTTATTTACCATTCCTCCAAGGTAACCTTGTTCCTACCTCTAATTTTTTTAAGGTGGTTTTTTTTTAATTCGAGGGCCTATTATAATAGGATTCATGCCAGCAAGCCTTTAGCTGCTGATTCTTTTGAGTCTTGCCCTGTCTCACCTAACCTTCTCCCTTACGCTTGTGCTCATTTGAGCTCTTAGAGGCCAGTGGGATGGGTTCACTCAACTCTTGACCTTATCCTCACCCTTACCCATGTCATTGCCTTCCAGATTCTCTAGAGTGTTCAAACTGAACCGGTTTCTAACCTTATCTACCAAAGACTGTTCTGCTAAAGCCACTGAATCTCTCATTTGTACCAAATGGAAATCTCAAAAAAATGTTTTCTTTTATTGTCAGCAAAACCAGAGAACCTGAATCCACAGTAGGGCCTCAGAAACTGGGGCAGCATGATTCTAGTTCTCATTACCCAGAATTCAGTGTGGCTTGACCAGACATACAGAAAACCAAAAACTGTATTCAGTGTGTGACCCCATCCGTTGGCACAATAGGCCACTGCCTGGAGGGTGGGCGTTGGAAGACATTCAAAGTATACCTGGTCTAAATGGTCTCACCCACCAATCTGCCACTATGGACTAAGGTTTATACCATCTGTCAGCTATGCTCTGGAGTTAAGGTATTTATAATCCCCATAAAAGAAGGTAAATATATCCTCTGGAAAAATGACCCTTAAACCCAATACACCATTAAGTCAGTTTAGCATATGCCAATGAGCTCTCTACCCCTTACAAAACCTTGAGGAGATAAGGAAAGTCACATTTCATTGGGACAGGTAAAGGTCAAGGAAAGTCTGGAGCCTAGGATGCTGCTTAATTGTTCAGATGAGTCAGGAGGCCTCTAGATGCAACCCCCCAAAGGCCAGTGTGAAATAAACCCATCGTGGATGGCAGTGGTAAGTGTTCATGGCCAGATGTTCCCTAAATCAGTCCGCCATGGCACAGGCTCCCGAGCCTGAGGGTGGACCTGCCTGGGGTGTAGCAAAGCAAGAGTGAGAAGCCAAACAAAAAGGGCCAAGAGCCACCAAAAAAATGAGCAAGAAGAAATAGAGTTAAAACACATCAAAGAAAAGTTAATGTCACTCATTAAAAGAAAAGACAAGAAGGAAAGGCAAATCGAGGGGAGAGAGGAAAAAGAGACTGAGGTGGAGTGTGCGCAAAGGTGAACTTTCTGTAAGGAAATTATCTTAGAGTTTAGCCAGTTTTCATTGTGAAAATACAATTATTGATTTTTCTGATTATAAAACTGACACATGCTCATGATGAAAAATTCAAACTATAAAGGAATAAAGAAGAAAAATAAAGATATCCTATAATCCCTATATACATTTGATGTAGATTCTCTCTTCCAGATGTCTTATATTCAGAAAAATTTCAAGTCTGAAATGGATAAACAAATGTACATGTTAAAAAGTTTAGTCTGGCAAACATAAGTGAGGATAGGAGACGTAGCTGCACCAAGGGGAGAACTTCAGCACAGCTGCAGCTGGAGCACATGGTTTCTCCTGGAAGCACCCATGTTCACTTCAGCACCAAGCCTCTTGGTCCCCAGAGAGAGTTAACGATGTGTTACTTTCAACCAAAAGGATTGTGCCAAACAGAGCTCACTGTTTTCCTCTTATATTGCTAATTACAGCCTGGTGAGACTATAGTGAGAAGGGAGTGAATATCAGAAGTGTGGATGACATGGATGGAGAAGGCAAGGGAATGCGATTCCTTTGGAAATTACAAGGAAGGGAAAAAATCTAAGAAATATTGATGTGCATAGACTGTGCTTCTCTACTGCTTTAAAGCCAGCAGTCATTGTCACTGTGGCAATGGAAGAGTGGAAGAATGTTATTGTCACCCCACTGAATAGACACTAGGATGTGCATTCACCTCCTGTATCATGATGCAAAAATCTGACTCACGGCTACATATTACCTAAGTGACAGGTGCAAATGCAGCAGACACCTGGCAGCTGGTCTATTTTTATCACAACAAGGAAATGTGTCTGTTCCTTTCTGTAAATCCACACTTGCCTGGCATTATTTCTAAACAAAAAATTTAAATACATCAAACTCTGTGTATTTAGTCAGTACCTACAGTCAATTTCATTTACAGGCAAAAATTTCCTCAAAACTCTATTAGCTGCAGTGAAAGCTAGCACCACATAGTGAAATTCCATTATCATAAACAGAATACAATTAAAGAATTAGATTAAAAACCTAACAATTTAGTATATAGTACCCTCTGTGTGTATTTAATCACAGAAAACCCCAGATAGCCTCAGCAATCTTGAGAAAGAAGAAAAACGTTGGAGGAATTACACTACCTGATATTAAACTATACTATAAGGCCATAGTAACAAAAACAGCATGGTATTCATAAAAGAACAGGCATATAGATCAATGGAACAGAATAAAGAACCCAGAAATAAACCCACACCTTTATGGTCAATTAATATTTGAGAAAAGAGGCAAGAACATACACTGGGATAAAGACAGCCAATTCCAAAAATGGTATTGAGAAAATTGGACACATATGTGCAAAAAAATGAAACTAGACTACCTTCTTATACCATGCACAAGAATAAACTCAAAATGGATTAAAGATTTACATGTAGGACCCAAAACCATAAAAATTCTAAAAGAAAACATAGGCAGTAAACTGACATCACTTTTAGTAATGTTTTTCCTCATATTTCCTCGGGCAAGGGAAACAAAGGAAAAATAAACAAATGGGACTACATCAAATGAATAAGTTTTTACACAGCAAAGGAAACCATCAACGAAATAAAAAGACAACCCACTGAATGGGAGAACATATTTGCCAATGTTACATCTGATAAGGGGTTAATATCCAAAATTCATAAAGAAGTCATAAAACTCAACACCAAAAAAATAAACATAAACAGTTCAATTAAAAACAGGCAAAGGATCTGAATAGGCAGTCTCCATAGAGGAAATACAGATGGCCATTAGGCATATGAAAACAGGCTCAACGTAACTAATCATCAGATAAATGCAAATTAAACCACAATGAGATATCACCTCACACCTGTCATATGGGCTATTATCAATAAATCAACGAGCAACAAGTGTTAGCCAGGGTGTGGAGGACAGAGAACTCTAGTGCACTGTTGCTGGGAATGCAGATTGGTCCAGCCACTGTGGAAAACAGTATGGAGTTTCCTCAAAAAATTAAAATAGAACTGCCTTATGACCCAGCGATTACACTTTTAGGAAAGTATCTAAAGAAACCCAAAACACTAATTCAAAAGAATGTATACACCCCTACATTTATTGCAGCGTTATTTATGATAGCCAAGATTTGGAAGCAGCCCAAATGCCTATCAATAGATGAGTGGACAAAAAAGCAGGAGTGCATTTACGCAATGGAATACTACTCAGCTGTAAAAAAGAGGGGAATCTTATCTTTTGTGACAGCCTGGATGGACCTCGAGAGTGTTATGCTGTGTGAAATAAGTCAAAGAAGGACAAATACCATATGATTTTACTTATATGTGGAATCTAATGAGCAAAATAAAAAAAATAGAAATGAACTCGCAGATAAAGAAAACAGACTGTCAGCTGTCAGAGGGGAGGAGGAATGAGGGCCTGGGTGAAAAAGGTGAAGGGATTAAGCAAAACAAATAAACAAACAAAAACCCTCATAGAAACAGGCAACAGTTTGGTGATTACCAGAGGGAAAAGGGGGTGGAGGGAAGTCAAAGAGGATAAAGAGGGAATGACTGGTGACAGGAAAAGATTGACTTCACACAGTGAACACACAATACAACACACAGATGATATATTATAGAATTATACACCTGCAACCTATATAGTTTTATTAAACAATGTTGCCCCAATAAATTTAATAAAAAGTTGTTTAAAAGAAAGAAAAATATTTGCATATAAATTCACCCATGCAGTTCAAACCTCGTTGTTCAATGTCCAACTGTAAATCATTTTTACAGCGGAAGAGCACTTCTGTTTAAGTGACACAAAACACCCATTGCATTTATACCTGTTTCTTCCAGGTGCAAGGCCTCCAGGAGGGTGTCAGCTATGTGTTCCGTGTCCGAGCCATCAACCAGGCAGGTGTTGGCAAGCCATCCGACCTTGCTGGGCCTGTTGTGGCAGAAACTCATCCAGGTGGGCCTTTGCTCTTTCATTACAATTAATCTCATCTATGTAACATATCAAAGTAACATTCAACCTAGCTTTCTCTGCTTTTCCTAGTTTTCAAAATTATCACTGTATGTCTATTTGAATAATTGATCAGTATGACTTAAGCCATGACAATCATTTACCAAATCATAGGAGCCTCAGGACAGGGGTGAGCCAGGTTTGAAGTGGTCCAGGGCTATTCTGGTTTTTAGTTAAAAACAGGAATGTTCTTGATCAATTATGGGTCTTGGACTGACTGTTTCAAGCCTACATTCCTGGGATGTTATTTCTGATATACCATGGCCATAAAGTCCCACAAGAATATTTTTCCAGTCATAGGGAAAGCTGAAACAGTGGTTAGCAAGATTTTTAAAATTATGTTAAACCAGAAGTCAGCAAACTTTTTCTGTGAAGGGCCAGGCAGTAAATATTTTTGTGTCTATGGCCATATGCTCTTGTTGCAATATTCAACTATGGCACAAAATCAGCCATAGACAATACATAAACTGGCTATGTTCCAATACAACTTTCTTGTGCACATTATATACATTATATAATACAATGTGTTATATACATTATAACATTTGAATTTTAAATAATTTCACATGCCTTGAAATATTAATCTTCTTTTTATTCTTTACAACTGTTTAAAAATGTGAAAACCACTCTTAGCCCACAAACCATAGTTTGCTGAGCCCTGGATTAAACCAACAGCACTCCTAACTGAATGATGTGTGCAGTCGAGGCAGCCCTCACTTCCCAGCTTTAGGAGATGCCACAATTGGACTAGGGAAGACAGTCTTTTCCTTTGTTATGGGGACAAAGTTTATAGTGTTCACTGCAAATAGTTTCAAAGCATTATATAATAATTTGTTTTCTCATGTAACCTCTGTTACTTTTCAAAGCTATACATTTCAGTTCATTAAAGTTGCATAAAAGAAAGTGCTGGAAATGAGAGAGGATTAAAAAATATTAACCAGTTATTTTAAATTTAGAGTCATTCTAGTCCAAGCACTTTCACTTAAATTTATCCCTATTTTCATATAGAAATAAAGAGCAGATAAGTAATATAGCTTTATTTTTATGATGAGAAAAGAATGTAAACAGAAAACTCTTCTATCATTTTATGTTATATGGAAAGTACATCAAATGTATCTTTTGAGGAACTATTTGTCCCCTTCATTTTATTGCTTCATAACCTGCTTTCAACTACTGTTGTAACTACACTCTAGAGCTAGGTGGAACAGAGGTGACCTTCTTATGCCAAAGCGTGGTAGGTGTGTCTGGCCAGAGTGCCATACCTCATATAAGTCCTCTTTGAAAAATTTTATGAGAAAACATAAAAATGCCAGGAACATATATGCCAGGTAAAAAGTAACACACAAAGACATCAGCACACATGTTCCTATATAAATCAGACCCTTCACGTGCCAACTGTGAGAAAATATAAGGTGGCAAATGGACTTGTAAAAGGACCCAACTGCAGAGTCTACCACTGTAAAAAGAATATTTAAATTACTATAAATAAACTCTTAATCTAGTCATGGGTAAATTAAAAGCACACTTTAAGCAGTAGAATCCAAATTTGATCAACTGAAGAAAGCTTAAATTGATTTATTATTTTCTCACCAGTAGCCTCAGAATGGCAGTAAAGACTATGCATGACATAACATAGTCTTTACTATGAAGACTTTCCTTCCCAAAAGGATCTGCTGTTGAGCTCTGGGCTAGAGTTTTGTTTCATTGATCAGGAATAAGATACCAAAAGTCATTTTTTGTGACCATTCCATTCCTAGAACATAACTATGAACAACAGCTACAGACATTAACACACTAAACAGCACCAGAGTAACCCACTTCGGAACCACTGGACCACAGCCTAGAAAAGAATCCTGGGCTGCACAGAATCAAAATGTTTTGCCATGAAGGACCACCAAGGCCTAGGAGACACTTGGACTTGATCCCTATGCCGCAGGCACATTTATTCTTGCAACATGTATTTCTTCAGATGCTGTGTGGGCACCAGGAGTAGAGTCATGTGACATTTGTCATGTATACTAGGCGTATAATCTAGTGAAAAAAACAGAGCTTACAACATGGTGCAATGAGAGCTAGATAGATGTTCATAAAATATTTCCCACAGCTGAATAGGCTATAAAGCTAGGTATTAAGTTTTTCTAACTCCTTGTAAAAACTTATATGAAGCCTAAGGTTGTCTGTATGTATCAATTTTGTTAAATACTAATATATTACTTATACCCAGATATTTATTTTATATTAGAATGGATGAGAAGAGGGTGGAAGGCATGTTATCAATTTCAAGATTTGGGACGTGAAACTCAGAGGGCTATTTCAGAAGAACAACATCTTTTAGAATGCATTATTAAAATTTCTGATAGAAAATAAAGCTTGTCATGTAACAGCAAACCTCAAATACATCTAACAGGACACCTCAAGTGTAATCTGAATTCCAGTTAAAAGCAACCACTGAGGTTGATAGGATCACTGGTCTTCCTTTGATGTCAGCAAACATACCAGCAGAAATGGCTCGGCCACTGCTGCAAAGTCTAATACTGCTGGTAATGAGGACCCGGAAAATGGACTAAGTGTGTCATGCTCTACCAAGAAATCTTTTAGCTAAAAATGCCTATAAGAAGTATAAATTGAAAAATATTTAGTGTATATTTGTTGGTCATAAAAGTCACTTTTATTCTTGATAGTTGATATTTATCAAGCATTATCTGTGTTTATTGAATCAGGCCTGGTATGTAGTTGGAGGCTAGGTGAGCCAGATCAGACAGGAGACAAGAAAGGAACCTGCCAAGGTGTCACAGGTGATCTAGAGGGCAACAAATGACTGACAGACAGTACAAGCTGCAGGTGTTCTTACCAGAGAAACATCAGTGGGCCAGAGATGTCAGGTGATGAGCAAAAGAACCCAGATGCAAGGCAGAGTCCCAAGCAAGAACTGGGTTACTGGAAGTTAGGACTCGGTCATCTGGAACAAGGCAGATTAGAAGAACACAGCATCAAACAAAACAATGACTTGGGACTGGGTTGACAACCTACTATCCAAACCCAGTTTCTAAAAACTGGTTAGTAATAGAACCTGGTAAGGCTGAGAATGCAAATGTGTGCCCAGTGGCCTAGCGGCAGAGTGTTAAAGGATTCTGAAGGAGGAAGCCAAGGTCACTATTGAAGATTAGGTCAACTAATTTAGAAAACTGCTCTTGTATTTGCTTGATATCTGATCTCTCTTACCTATTAAAACAGGAGTTATCAACCTTGGCTGTGCATTGGAATCATGCCAAGAACTTTCTGAAAATACTGACTGCATTCCATTCTCCATTCCAGGCCAATTATATCAGAATCTCTAGTACTGGGCCTGGGCATTCGGTCATTTTTTTGTTTGTTTGTTAGCTCCTTGAGTAATTATAGTGTGACACCAGCTTGTAAACTGTGTATTAGACTGAGCTCCTTCAAAATAGGAGCTGTCTTTTCTCTATATACATTGAGAACCTGGTACCTGGTATGTAGTAGTCATTTATTAAATGAAAAAAATAATGACTACCATGTTGTAGCCAGTAAGGGAAAGTCTGTTTTGAAGCCACAGCATGATTACTTAACTCTAGAAACCTCATGGTGAACACCCTGCTTATGAAGCGTGATCTAGAGAGAAGCATCCACGGGGGCTACAGTGAGGACTCAATGTGGGGAGTCAGCCAGTGGTCCTCATCTTGAATGCAGGGGAGCCCAGTATTTCTTGTGACTGATTACATTAATTCACTTCCATCTGCTTGTATTCTGTCTCACTCCCCAGTTTTTCAAATGTCATACATGCTCACACACATGCTTGCACCAAGAAAGATAAATAATTAAACCTTATATAAAATAAAACAAACAAAACAGAAACAAACTTAGATACAAAGTGATGGTTGCCAGATGGGAAGGGGATTCCGGTGCTGAATGAAAAAGGTGAAGGGATTAAGAATTATAAATTAGCAGTTACAAAACCACCATGGGGACGTAAAGTACAGCATAGGGAACAGAGTCAATAATATTGTAATAACTGTGTATGGTGCCATGTGGGTACTAGACTTACCAGGGTGATCACTTAGTAAGTTTTATAAATGTCTAATCACTGGGGTGTACACCTGAAACTAATACAATATTGCATATCAAGTGTAATTGAAACAAAATTTAAAAGCTCATAAAACTGACCTATTAATGCTGATGTAAAAGACTAAAGTATATGAGAAAGAATTCTCATATCAGATTATGAAATGTATGGGAAGGTAAACAGTTTTCTGTGATTTTTATTTTAGCTTTTTCATTTTATTTTTTTAACCTTTTTTTTAAGAGAGGAGGTAAAAATAAGACAGGATTAGTTTCCAAAAGTTTATTTTCACCCTGGGTCATGGCAAACCTAGAGGGACCATTAAAAAGCCACTCCACACACTATCCATCTGTATCCATATTAAGGATTTATTTAGGATTGAGCAGCTGACTAGAGACAACTCTTCTCAAATCCTTTTCAAACCAAAATATTCTTTTTCATTTTCTATAGTCAAATCTCCTGTGTTCTTAACTGAATTCTTCATGTTCTTGAGCCGATTTGAAGGCTTTTTTTTGAGAAAATCTAAGTCTTGACAAATTTTGGTCTACTTTTCCAGCTCAGCTCTGTGGAGAAGTGGGATGGCCTTTCATCTAGCGAGAATATCCACAGGGATTCCTTTACTTTGACGGGAGACCATTAATAGCTACTGCCTGCCTGTTAAGCGTGTGAACCATTTCAATCACACATTAATCAGTTTTAGAGCATGTGACTCTTTAGACATTTGTGAGTTCAGCCATGAATTGACAGCTGCTCAGTGTTTGGCAAAAACTCATTTAGACCACGGGACATTCTAAAAAGAAAATTTGAGGGTTCTGTAGCTACACCTTTCTCACTCTGAGCCTGCACCAGGTTCATCTCCACAGGTATT